TTCACTCCGGACTGTTGTGATGGTTTCACAGTGTATACATATGTCAAAACTTAGCAAGTTTATACTTTAAATATGTGCAGTTTATTGTATGTAAATTATACCTCAATAAAACTATTAAAAAATTAAAAGTAAAAAGCCCATACTCCATCTGTGTAAAGTATTTCTGACTGCCTGGCATGTGACAGCTGTTGCTTGAAGCTGGCTATTATTTCTGAGCTCTTACTGTGTCAAGGTCAAGGGCTCAGAGGGGCAGTGGCCTCAGGAGAGTGGGCTGGTGCTGCCGGCTCTGGTGGGGTCCTCCTGCCCCCTGGTGGACCCCCGGGGTACAGTGGGCTGCGCTCCCATGGACCCGTGGCCCACTCCTTGGGGCTGTGTCTGCTTGTCTGTCCCTCCCTGTGTCTGTCTGCTGCTCCCGCTCGCCCAGGTGTGGTGTCCGCCAAGACGTAGTGCCTGCACCGTGGATCTGGGTCAGGAACGCCGCATGCCCTGGTTCCTCACCCTGTAGAGTCAGCCTCCCATTGTCCCTCCCCCATCCCCACCGAGGAGGTCCATGTCAGGAGGAAGTGGATGAAAGGGAAGCCTGGGTTAGAGTTACACTGGTGAACCCTGGTCTTCAAAAGGCCAGCTTGGTCCTCGCATGGCCCAGGTGAGACCCTCCTCTCCACTACCCTGGGCTCCTCCCCCACAGCCTGGGAGCCAGCTTCCCTGCCTCCCTTCTGACCCTGTATTCCATTCTCCCAGGGCAGCCAGGGCGGTTGTTGAAAAACCCCTGCCCTCAACCCTCCAAACCTCCTCATCTCCTTTAAGTCCACAAAGGCTCGGCCCCTGTAGAGAGACACATCCACACTGTGCACCACCAGAGCCCTGACAGGGCACTGGGACAACTGGACGTCCACAAGGAAACAAAAAAGCGTGAACGAGCCCTGTTACCCATCACAGAAGTCAGCACTAGGTGGGGTGCAAGTCCAGTGTGAAAGCTGAAACTATGCAGCCTCAAGAAACCGTGCAAGAGGCCGGCCCGGTGGCACAGTGGTTAAATTCGCACGTTCTGCTTCTGCGGCCTGGGGTCCACCGGTTCAGATCCCCGGTGCAGACATGGCACTGCTCAGCAAGACATGCTGTGGCAGATGTCACACATATAAAGTAGAGGAAGATGGGCACAGATGTTAGCTCAGGGCCAGTCTTCCTCAGCAAAAAAAAGGAGGATTGGCAGCAGATGTTAGCTCAGGGCTAATCTTCCTAAAAAAAAAAAAAGGAGCCGTGCAAGGGGGTCCGACCCAGTGGCCTAGTGGGTAAGTTGCCGTGCTCTGCTTGGGTGGCCCGGGGCTATGCCTGGTTCGGATCCTGGGTGCAGACCTAGCAGCACTCGTCAAGCTACACTGAGGCGGCATCCCACATAGCACAACTAGAAAGACCTACAACTAAAACACATAACTATGTACTTGGAGGCTTGGGGGAGAAGGAGGAAAAATGAAATCTGAAAAAAAAAAAGAAACCGTGCAAGGACATCTCGATGAAACTTTCACGACTTCGGGGCTGGCGGAGTTCTTTAAAAGGATGGAAAAAGCGACCGCTCTGAATGAAATTGTTGACAACTTGGACCGTGTTAAAATTTAAAACTTCTGTTCATCAAAAGGCATCGTTAAGAGAATGAAAAGGCGAGATAGAGGGAGAAAATATTCAATAAAGAATTCTTATCAAGAACGTATAGCAAATGCCCACAAATCAACAAGAAAAAGGCATAGAAAGTGGCAAAAGCAGCGAAGAGACAGACTTCTCACAAAAGAAGTTACCGACGGCCAGCAGCTTGGTTATTATTAAGGAAACATGAATGAAAACTGCAGTGAGATAGAGTCAGCTGGAGCCCCAGACACCTAGAGAAAGAGACGATCGGAGGTGTTGGTGAGGACGCTGGGCACGTGGGAGTCACCCGAGTGAGTCTGGGGAGTGGAGCGGGTGCACGGCCCCTGGGAAGACTGCTGGGCAGAAACTAAAGCTGGGCAAACACACCCTGACCCAAAGGCTCCAGAATCGCATCCATGGGTTTGCCAAAAGAAATCTTCCAGAATGTTCATGACATCACTGTTTGTAGTACCGTTGTCCTCCCTTATCCGCAGGGGTCCATCCCAAAGCCCCCGTGGATGCCTGAAACCGTGATAGTGCTGAACTCCAAATAGACTGTTTTTTCCTATGTATACATACTCACGACAAAGTTTAACTTATAGATTAGGCACAGTAAGAGATTAACAACAATAACTAATAACAAAGTTGGCTTTGGGGCCATTATTAAGTAAAACAAGGGTGACTTGAACACAGCACTGCAACGCTTGACAGTTGATCTGATAACCCAGACATCTACTACGTGACTAACGAGTGGTGGTATCTACGGCTTGGATGCGCTGGACAAAGGGGTGAGTCACGTCCCCGGTGGGCTGGAGCAGGAAGGTGTGAGATTTCATCGTGCTACCCAGAACAGGGCACAATTTAAAACTCATTAATTATTTCTGGAATTTTCCATTTAACCTTTTCAGACAGAGGTTGACCTCGGGGAACTGAAGCCGTGATGAGCGAGACCATGGACGAGGAAGGATGACTGCAGTGCAGAACGGGAGTGACCCAGGTCTTCACCCACAGGAGGCAGCGATGCGCACATTAGCATGGGGACCCTCCGTGCTGAAGCTGGCCACACAGCCCTCAGGCGCCTGGCTCCAGGGCGTGATGAGGAAGGGAGCAGACCGAGATAACAGAAGATACACATTGTGGTCGCTGCCACCGGTTGCTGGCACAGAGCTCCTAAAACCCTTGTAAATCCCTGAGTGACAGGAGCACTCAGAGCATCTTTTGTGCTGATGAGGTGACTCTGGTGGCTCCTGGATTGGGGCTGGTCACCAGAAAGACCATCCATGATTAGAAGCTCTGAATCTTCAGCCCCACCCCCATTCTCCCGAGCAGGGAGAAGGGCTGGACAGGGAATTGATGACCCACCCCGTCTGGGTGTGAAGCCTGCAGGAGCTCCCAACAGTGCCGGCTCAGAGAGCTATGGGCTCTTCACTCCTTCAAAATAAACTGCTAAATGCAAGTAAATGTTCCCCTGAGGCCTGTGAGTCATTCTGGCAAATTACTGAAGGCAAAGTAGGGGAAGGTCATGGGGGCCTCTGGTTTGTAGCCAAGCTCGGAAGTGGTGGTCACCTGGGGACCTGCTACTTGTGATTGGCTTCTGAAGTGGGGCAGACCGTGTCAGCACTGAATTAAAGTGTAAGACGCCCAACCCGTGTCAGAGAATTGCTCGGTGTGGGAAAACCCCACGAATCTGATGCCCATAAGTGTTCTGTGTGTGCAGTGAAGGAGACTCGCAGGAGAAAACACAGGAGGGAAAACTGGGTTTTCTTTATACACAGACGCAGAAAGTGTCGTAGGGCGCAATTCCGGTGGCAGGCCAGGCGGCTGGGGTAGCAGACAGCAGCAGGCCTCGTCCTTCCCCGGGGTCTGGCTCTCTCACCTTGTGTCTATTTTTGCCCTCCCTGCACGCATTACACTGAACAGTTTACCAGGAATTGAAACGCCGTGCCTCATTGTCCTCCTCCACTGTCATCCTCACAGCCTCGGCCCTTGCTCTCCCCCCTGCCGAATCCTGTCCCTCAGATCCTCAGGCCTTTTGGTCCAAGGCCCCTCCCTGGAGAAGTTTCCAGCCCCTTGAGGCTGCCCCCTCTCTCCACTCTCCTTATTTCTTACAATGTGACGCTGTTGGAAATGATATTATTTACCTGTTTATTCAGATATTTGCTATCTCTCTACTCCCTCCTCGTGTCCCCCAGCAGGGAGGCCCAAGAAGTGTGTGTCACAGTGACCTACCCAGGGATGGGCACCACCAGCCCCAAGGTCAGGATGGCCTGGAGCATGGCTAACAGCAGGGGCTTTGAGACCCAACTCTGTCACTTACTGTCTGTGTGCCTGTGCACAAGTCACTCACCCTCTCTGTGCCTCACCAACTTCAACTGTGAAGGAAGGGTCCTCCAGGCACCCTTCTCAGGATGAACGCACTTTTGGAAAAGTGCTCAGGGGAAACGCGTGGGAGGAGCCTGTGAGGAGCTGCTGTTCTTGAGGCCAAGTTGCCCCTGACTGTCTCCTCTGCGTGACAGGTTCACCTCTAGTGGCGGTAGCAGACCCCTTTTCCTGGAGGGACAGACCCTGCATTGGCACCCCCATCTTGGGCCCTGTCCACAGGAGCCCAGGTTGGAGAGGTGGTGGTGGAGAGAGACCCACTTTCCTCCCTGGCCCCTCCCAACCCTTTCCAGAGGCCCAGGGCCCAGCCCCTTTGGGGTGCCCTCCACCGAGAGCCCTCAATGCCCCTACTTGCACCCTAGGCCCCACTGGCAGGCTCAGCAATGCTGCCAGGGAGGGGCTAGTGAGCCCCTTGAGGTCAGACCAGGGAGGTGCAAGGTTGTACCCAGGTTGGCAGCAGCCCACTCCCAAAGGACCTCTAGGGACATTCTGGAACAGTCCTTTCGCAGCTCATCACTCTGTAACTCCCTCTGGTCCCCACAGGCCACAGGGTAAAGTTCTAAGACCCAGAGGGGCTGTTCTGGTCTTGGGGGGCTGCCAGCAGGCAGGTGGCAGTAGCGGTGGGCATGAGGTCTCACAGCGGGTGGGCGGGGCCACTTACAAGGAAAGGGCAGCCGGCGGGGACACGGTGTGCACGGTGGCGAAAGGGAGGCCATGCAGTCCTGACTGCTGGTCAGCATTCTCTGGCAGGCGTCTGACCTGACAGGAAGGCGTCCCTCACATAGCTGGAGGCCCCTCAAATACCATCTATTTGTGGCCTGGACCCTGACGGCTGGCAGGAGCCATGTGACCACAGAGACAAGGTATTTTTGGCAGTGGGGGTGGGGCCCGCGTGGGAGCCCAGCACCATGCCCCTCCGGGACAGGCAGCTTGGATGCCCAGCTCCGCTGCCCCGGCTGGCTGCGGGGTCCCAGGTACGACATGGTCAGCCCCTCTTTCCCACCTTAAGGGGTCCCAAAGGCGGACAGCCCCCATAGGGACCTCCCCAAGGGCCAGGGAGGAAGGCAAAGTTCAGTGGGTCAGGAAGCCACGGTCTCAAGCCATCTCTATGTTAGGACTGGCCTGGCCAGAGTGGCCTCCTACCTCCCTGGGTCCAGCAGTAGCTGACAAAAGGCTGAAGGGCAGCTCCCCATAGGGTCAGCTGTGGCCGCCCTGGTTCAATGAGATGGGAGTGGAGGGGCTTTGCCAGCTGGGCAGGCCAGGGTCAGGGCACAGGTCCCGGGGATAGCCCTGGGGGCCGATGAGAATCAAGAAGGTCATATCTGGTCTGTGACCTCCTGCCGAGGCAGGCAGAGCCAGGCTCTTCCCAGTGACCCCTGAGTGGGCTCTGGTCTGCATCACTGTGACCTTGATGAGCTCAGAGGAAGCCCAGCAGCCTGCCCCAGCCAAGGTTGGTGGAAGGTCATCACCAGAGGCTGGTCACCTGGACACTGTGGCCCCTCCCCCATGGCCAGCTGCCACCTGGGGCATGCTGGGACAGGCCAGGGTTGCCCATTGCCCAGGTGAACTAACTCCTCGTGGGTGGTCCTTGAAATGGGCTTTGCTGTGTAAAGTTGGCCTCAGTACAGACAACTCTGGAGGAAAGTTGGAGGAGGTGAGGCTGACTCAGCAGGACAGAAATGCTCCATGATGTGAAGGAAGCCACTTCTGGGGGCTAAATTCAAGCACAAGAAGGCCTGTTTTGCAGCCTACTTCACTAATCTAAAACCTATCTGATGGTAGGCACGTACAACCTGTCGTTATATAAAGTTATCGCCTGGGGTCGGCTGGAAGCAGGGCCGGTGGGAGGTGCCTTTTCTCTCCTGGAGGAAGAATCAGGTCTGGAAGCAGCACAGCTCCCTCCAGGGTTCTTTCAGGACCAGGTTCTCCAGCTTCTTTCTGCTCCGCTTTCTTTCAGGACAGAGATGAAGTGCCAGCCCCGGAGCCAGGGAGGTGGGGGCACCCAAGGGGGCGGGTGGCAGTGCGTGCTGGCCGATGCCCGGGGCCTGGGTCCGTGAAGGCTGGATGCTCTGCTGCTCAGGTGCCTCTGCTGACCCGAGATGGAGAACTTCCAGTACAGTGTCCAACTGAGCGACCAGGACTGGGCTGAGTTCTCGGCCACTGCCGAAGAGTGTGGCCTCCTGCAGGCCGGCCTGGCCTCTGGGGATGAGCTCTTGTCCAGTGACATTGACCAAGGGGACAGCAGTGGCAGCAGTCCCCCTGGGCCCCCGCCCCTTCTCCAGGGGCAGCCGGCTTCTAGGGAGAGGGGCTGGCCTGGTCTCGAGGAGGAGGACAAAGTGGCCACTCGGCAGCTGGTCAGCAGGTCTTGGCATGAGCCCACCTTGGCCCCGGAGCCCGGTCAGCAGACGCCCAGCACGTCCGCACAGCCAGAAGCTCAGCTGTCCCTCAGCTCTGGTGCCACCCCTCCTGGCCAGAGCGCATCCCTCCTTGGGCCAGAGTCTTCCAGACAGGAGATGCAGAGGCTTCTGCAAGGGCCGGCCCCCCGGGGCCCTGCCCCTAGTCCCCCTGGGGAGCCCCCCCAGAGCCCCGAGTCTCCTGGCCGCAGCACTGCCCCCCAGAGGCCTCCTGGAAGCCCTGGAGCCCCACCCCGCAGCCCCAGCCGAAAGAAGAGGCGCCCTGCAGGCACCAAGGTGGGTGGGCGCTCGGGGGCCGCCGGCTCTGCTCCCACCCAGCCGGGCTGCCTGCTGCTCACGGAGCCCAGGCCTGAGGAGGGTCTCGGCCTGGCTGGGTCCAGGGGGAAGGGTCTCTCAACTGGGATAGCAGAGTGTACAGCAGGAGCTGGGCAGGACGAACTGGGGTCAGAGTCTGCAGGAACCCCTGAGCAGGTGACCAAGCAAGGGCCAGGTTTGGATCTGTCTACACCTGTTCCTACAACTCAGCAAGGTACAGACCTGCTCAGAATGACCCCCAGAGCTGGGGTACACACTGTGACCACATCTGCCCATAAAGCTCGTCTAGACGTCTCAATGGTTAAGTCAGATGTGGCTCTGTCTACACCTGTCTCCAAGCCTCAACCTGACACAACTCTGTCTACATCGGCCTCCAAGCCTCAACCCAAGATGCCTCTGTCTACACCAGCCTCCAAGTCTCAACTAGACACAACTCTGTCTACACTTGCCTCCAAGCCTCAACTCGACATGCCTCTGTCTACACCGGCCTCCAAACTTCAACCTGACACAACTCTGTCTACACCAGCCTCCAAGCCTCAACCTGACACGCCTCTGTCTACACTTGCCTCCAAGCCTAGACTGGATGTGGACCTGCCTACACCAGGTCCAGTGGTCAAGCCAGAGGTGGATTCATCCACACCTGTCTCAAAGGCTATACCATGCACAGCTCTGCCTCCCCTTGTGTCCAAGGCCCAGTGTGATGTGGATGTGTCTATACCTGCTGCCCTTCCCCAGGCTGAGCCTGATGTGGTGGAGGTTGCCCCAGCGGTAGAACTGGGTTTGACCCCTGTTGTGTCTCCAGGAGGGCAGCGAGAGAGGCCCAGAGGGGAGCCTCCAGCAGGTGCCCCTGGACATCGCTCAGGGGAGCCCCCCATAGGGCCTGTCCAAAGCGCCAAAAAGAAGAAAGTGCGATTCTCCATGGCTGTGTCCAGTCCCTCCGAGGAGCCAGGGTTAGGAGAGGCCTTGGGCCCACCCTCACCAGCCACAGCCCGGTCCTCAGCCCCCAGGATGGCAGCTGGGGGCCGCGGGGGGCCTGGAGCCTGGGACGCTGTGGCAGTTGGGCCCCGGCCCCTCCAGCCTCGGGTCCTCAAGCTTCTGCCTCCCCCGGCCTCCTCTGCCTTGGAGTGGCCCGAGCCCAGGAGCTGCTTTGCAGTGACCCTCCCAGAGGCCTATGAGTTCTTTTTTTGTGACACGATTGAGGAAGAGGACGAAGATACTGTAGAGGCAGCAGAGGCTGGCCAGGCTGCAGCTGAAGTCCAGTGGCCGGACGTGTGCGAGTTCTTCTTCCAGGACTTGCAAGCCCAGAGGTCGGAGCACCCAGTGGGGCGCTCCTTGGCCCCACCCCCTCCGGCCAAGCCTATGCCAGCTCCTCCACCTGGAGACCCCATGCCCATCTCCATCCCTGAGGCCTATGATCACTTCCTTGGGGAGGACAGGGTAGACAGCATGCTGGGACCGGCTGCCCTTCTCCAGTTGCAGGCCACAGAGAACCCCAGGTCGGTCCCCCATGGAGTGGGCCCTGGAACCCCACCAGAGCCCTGCCCAGCCACAGCAGAGCAGCTCAACCTGGCAGTCAGGCAAGCAGGTATGTGTGGCATGGGCCCTATGGCCTGTCCAGGTCCTGGGAACACACTGTCCAGAGAGTTCAGCCAGGAGGGCTATTGGGGAAGGGCAGGCCAGGACCCTGGGTCATGAGCCAGTAGGGGGGCCTTGGGGATGCTCTGGGAAGGAACGACCTGCTTCCAGCCATCCCAGGACACAGTCCAGGTGGGGCAGACCAGGCCAGGCATCGTGCCCATTCAGGGGTTTGACTCTGCACTCACCACCACTGTGTTTAGGTCTGATGACAGCAGCACCTGCCCCCAGCCTCTGGCAGGGCAGGTGTCAGGGTGGTTCCTGCTCAGCCTTGCTGCCCGCTGGGTCAGGCAGTCAATAGACTTCATCTTACATTCCCTTTAGAAGATATTTTACAAACGGTGCCCCAGAGGCAATTTGCCGAAGGTGGCCTGACTCAACTATGCCACACATCACCTTGTGTCTTGGGACAGAGTATCATGGGGAAGGGGTGACTCAGACAGCCTGTCCCGGGGCAGGCGTGTCCCAGGATAGACATGTCCTGGGATAGACATGTCCTCAGGCAGGCATGTCCTGGGGCAGCCATGTCCCAGAATAGATGTGTCCCCAGGCAGGCGTGTTCCAAGATAGACACGTCCCGGGATAGATGTGTCCCTGGGCAGGCATGTCGCAGGGCAGCCATGTCCCAGGATAGACATGTCCCCGGGCAGGCATGTCTGAGTGGAGCAGCCGGAGCTCAGGGTGTACTTCTCTTTTCTAGGGGAGCCCTGGGGTCCCCTCACCTCGTTTACCTTCAGCCAGAACGACATGTGCCTAGTGTTTGTGGCCTTTGCTACCTGGGCTGTGCGAACATCGGATCTGCATACCCCAGACGCCTGGAAAACAGGTTTGGGGGCTCTGGGGGAGGAGGGACAGTGGTGTCCAGTCTCACCAGCTGGGCCAGCAGGGATGAGCGTACATGGGGAGGCACAGGTTTCTCTCCGACATTGCTTTCCCATTGCTGACTCCCATGCCCCGCCAATCTCCTCCTGCCCTTTGAGGGCTGGGCCATACGGGTAGAAGGTGGTGACCAGGCTGGAGTGGAGCTGGCACTCAGGGGCCTGTGCTTCTCCTGCAGTCTTGCTGGCCAACATTGGCACCATCTCTGCCATCCGATACTTCCGTGGTCAGGTGCGGAGGGGGCGCCGCAGCCCGAACCGCAGTCGCAGCCCCAGCCCCAGCTCCAGTTCCAGCTCCTAGGACCCAGTCTTGGCCCAGGAAGACGCAGGATGAGGAAACGGCCACAGGTGCTCAGGGCAGGCGCTGCCCTCAGGCCTTGCACTTTGACCTCTGTTCTCCACCATCTAGGAAGGAGCCAGCATCCTTGGTCTTGGCTCCTTTGGACTCCACCGAGGGTCCAGCCAGTGGCTGAGGCCAAGGCTATACCCCACACCCGGAGAGGGGAAGGTTCTGGAAGGCTGGGCGAGAAGGGGCTGAGCAGGGAGCTGGTTAGTAAGGTGGCCAGGGTAGCAAATCAGAGCACAGGATGTCCAGTGATGCCTGAATTTCAGACATGTAGTATTTGAGCCGTATTTACACTAAGATATTTGCGGTTTATCTGAAATCAAATTTGACTGGGTGCCCTGTATTTTACCAGCTTATCTAGTCAGGGGGTGAGGGCAGGGCACTGGAAATTAGGGGGTCAGAGCAGCAGCAAGACCCTGCTGGAGACCTGGGCAGGGGCAAGGGTGATGAGGCTGGGTGGGCTTGAGGCTGGGGGGGCAGGTCCCAGGGACTCTCTGCCCCATTTAGAAGTGGGCTGGACTGGTGAGGGCCTCTGAGGCCTCCCTGGTCCCTGAGCCCCAAGGGCCTGTGGCCAAGGCCTCCTTGGCTCCTGCCTGAGACAGTGAACAGGGGCCTACAGGGGCCTATGGGAAGGGGCTCCAGAGGCCCCTGCAGGGCGGGGGTCTATAGGGCAGAGCCTGGACAAGGTGCAAGGGCAGAGTGCAATGGTGTCAGGTAGAGGGACTGGACCTGGGATTGTCCCGGGGCTGAGAGGAGCCGGAGATGGGGTAGGTAGGTGGGCAGGGGACTGGTGGTGGCAGAGCAGCGGGGGTGCTGGGGGGGCATGCATGGGGTCCTCAGGACGACGGGAGACTCCAGGCTGCTAAGTGGAGAACGCATGGATACAGCACCAATAAATCTCCTTCTCTTTCTTGTTCAGTCTCTTGTCAGTTCCTCCCCACCAGCCCCATCCCACTCGCACACCTAGGCAACTCTCCTGCCTCTCCTGATGATGTCTCAGACCTCGTGGACCTCTGACCCTCAAGCTCTCTGACTTCACATACTCTGACCCTCATTAACCTGATTTTCTCAGCCCTCTGACCTCCTGCTCCTAGGTGAAGCCCCCATCAAGTCCCTTCCCTTATTCCTTCCTGGGGAGCAGGCCAAGGTCCGGCCCCTCTGGGCATCCTTTCCTGATCTGTGGTCCAGTCACTTGGGCCAGGGCATCCTCAGGATGACGCCCTTCTCCTGGCCCATCCAGAGCTCAGGAAAACTCCATGTTCTGGGGACCTTCCACCCTGCTGGGGCCAGAGCCTGATGTGGTACTGGACGGGGGGTTGGTCAGCCTGCGGCCCTGCTGCAGACCCCCGTCCAGGTTGACACTGGCAGATGGTCCCGAGAAGCGGCCTGCCCGGCCATCAGATCCACTGGATGAGCCCCTCCTCAGCCTCAGGCGCCCCGCGGGGCCACCGCCGGTGGGAGGGAGAAGGAACCTTGTCCCAGATGTTGTCATAGCTTCTGGGGGGACGGCCATCTGGTGGGGAGGGCAGACAGACATGTGCCTTCAGGAAGCAATACCCAGGGGTCCCCAGAAAGAGGCAGGAGCCCTCGCTTACCTGGGGGAGGCGGCAGGGGGCCCAGCGACGCTTCTCTTGCAGGGGAGGCCTGGGGACACAACCACAAGTCTGAGAGCCAAGCACCGGGGGCCCCTGAGCCTTCCCTCGTGCCCCCCGCTGCCCCTTCCTGCCCACTGCTCCCTGTCCTTGGCCTGTGCCCACTCCATCCTCCCATTTCCATCTCTCCTGCAGGGTTCCGGGAGGCCCCCCCCGCCATTTTCCCTCCCCCCAAGAAGCCCTGTCCAGGGTGCGGGCTGCTACTCACAAACTGAGGGGAGTCTGGGGGCTGGGACCCCCGGCCCTTGATGGAGCCTCGGTGCCGCTGAGGGGCTCGGGACTGCAGGGCACCCTTCTCAGAGTGTCCAGCACTGGGCTCAGAGACAGGCACGGACACGGGGACAGATGGGAACAGGGCAGAGGGCTCAGGGCCGAGCGAGTTCTGCATCACACTGAGGAACTGTGGGGAAAGTGGTGGTGACCCAGGCCCTGCGCCAGGGCCTCCATGGAGCTGGGGGACCCCCGCTCCAGAGCCCCACAGCCTCTCATCGTGGCCTGAACCAGCCCAGGCTTCGGGCACCTCCAGCCCCTTCTGTCACCCTCATGACTGACCTCGTCCAAGTCCTGGACGTCTGTGATTTTGTGGTGGGAGGTGGCAGGTGGCGTGTAGGGATCAACGTAGAGTGGGGAGTGTGGTGACTCCAGGGGGTGGTCTGGGGCCACAGGGCCGCCCTCCAGGCCCGCTCTGCTCAGCTGCAGGAAAGCAGAGGAGACAGGTTTCCTGGAGCTGCACATGCCGTCCTCCCTTCTCCATGCAAGAGGCTTCTGCATGGCTCCAGGACCACCTGGGCCCAAGACACAGAGGCCAAGGAGGGAGGACGGGAGGGTGAGCCAGGCCCGGAACCGGTTCAGCGCGCTGGGCCCACCTTGGTCAGGTCCAGGTGCAGTGGGGTGGCTGGACTGGGCCCCTCGCCCCGAACCTTGCTCCTGGGTGAGCGGCTGCTGCCGCCCCGTCTCAGCTCTGCCCTCTGTCTGACCATGCTGGTGCAGCTGGGATTGATCTGGTCCTGTAGAGACCAAGAACCTTCCAGAAAGTTCCCTGGGGCCCTCTCCCACACAACCTTCTGAGGCTGCACCAAGCTCCCGCCAGCCTGACTCCCCTCCCCTGAGGACCTAGGGTCCCTCTTGGGATGGGGTGCCATGGGGACCCAGGCTCCCCAGCACAAACTCGCTTCCTGCCCCCGTCCCTTTCCCTCGCCCATTCCCTTCCTCCAGACACTCACGGGTGCAGACTGGGCAGGGCAGCCTGTGGTGGACGGCACTGAGGACTCGGGGAGGGAGTGGCTGGTGCGGGTGGAGGGGGGCACCGGGCACCCAGAGTTCCAGCTGGTCTGTCCATCTGAGGTGAGAGAGCCTCGGCCGCCGCCCATGACCTGGGCAACGCAGAGGTGGGTGAGCAGGATGGCAGGACCCTCTCCACACCTACCCGTGCCCAGACCCACCCTTCTGTCCTCCTGTGGCTACACTGCCTGGAGCCTGAGCTGTGGGGCGGCCCCCTACACTGACCCTCACCTGTGTGGGCGTCTGCAGCCCCAGGAAGCTCTCCAGGCCTGGTGCAGCGGGGGCCGCCTCCCTGCGGGAGATGGCCTGCAGGCAGAGCAGCCAGTGGCTGTAGTCCTCGTAGCTGGCACACAGCACGCGGATGGTGTTGATGAGGCGCCCTGCACACAGATGCTGTGAGGGGCCAGGTGGGCAGGGCGCCCTGGGGAGGCCCCACTGAAGAGCTGGCACCCTCCAGGCTTGTGCCTCCCTCCCAGCCCCGCCACAGCCCACCTTCAATCAGGAAGGAGCGGATCTGCTTCTCTCTCTCCTCCAGGTTGATGTGGACGGCTCTGAGTGGGAGTTCCCCCTGTGAGGAGCAAGCAGCAGGGAGGATGGGGCCTCTGTTCCAGGGGGCAGCCAGGCAGCAGGCCCGCTTGGAGAGACAGGCCCCTCTCAGGGCACTGAGAGCCAGCACACGAGAGCCGCCCAGGAGCGGCCGTGCCCCCGCCACCTGCCCCCGTGATGGTCTGGCTGGTGGCTGAGGACCCTCTGGGATGACACAGGGCACCAGGCAAGGGCCCCTCCTTCCCCACGTCAGAGCTGAGACCAGACTGACCAGGGAAGCGGGCCTGATGGGTGTGGCCAGCATGCCTCTGTTCCAACAGGCCCCGAAATACAGGTTCCTCCTGACCCAATGCCCCCTCCCACCCCCACACATAGGGTGCCTCCCTGGGGCGGGTCCACAGTGGGGAAGACCCACCTTAAAGGAAAGCCCATCTGCTTCCTCAGAGAAAATGGCCAGGGAAGTCGGGTACAGGACCAGCAGCCGGTCCCACTGCTCCTGTGAGGGGGTCAAAGGGCAGAGTGGGGACATCTGCTACCTGCACCCCTCCGCTGCCTCCTCACCCCCATCTTCTCCCCTACCTCCTCACCCCTCCCCTATCTCCTCACCCCATCTCCTCCCCCAACTCCTCACTCTTGCCCCACCTCCTCACCCCTCCCTCATCTCTTCACCCCTTCTCCATCCCCCCCTCCACCCCCCTGCCCTCACCTTCTCTCACCCCTGTGTCCCGCCCCACCTGTGAGGGCAGATGCTGCAGCTTGACTCTCGAGGCGCAGATGGCGCTGCCTGCCACTTGGCGTCCTGAGGCCGTCCGCAGCTGAGTCAGCCTGCGCTGCAGAGTCCAGGGAAGCTCGTCCTCCGGGGGGTCCTGGTAAAGGGGGGTCAGGGCAGGCTGGAGAGGGTGGGGATGGGAAGGGGGTGGGGTCCCAGCACTGACCTGTGGTGGCGCTGAGTGACAGTGCTGCAGTCCTCCCACAAGGGCCATCTGCTTCTCCAGGTGGTAGAGCCAGCGGCCCAGCTCCGCCTGGCTGGGGCAGAGCACCAGGAGGGGGGCGGGCAGCGGGCCTGCGGGCGGGTGGCAGCAGAGGGGGCTGGGCCAGCAGCCCACAGGCAAGGCCCCTCCCAGGGGCTCCTCCTGACCCCGGACCCAGGTCACACACAGTTCTGGAGATCCCCACCCACTGCCCTCACCCAGTGTGATAAGTGCACGTGTGCCCATTGGAGCCAAGACCCCTAATGCGCTCAGGGTCCTGCCAGTGTCCCAGAGCCTGGCCAGAGGCCAAGGTCACTGAGCAGCCCTGGCTTTCTCACCCTCCCAGGGGCCTGGTCCACTCATGCTGCCCACATACCTGTGATCTGGAAGGCATGCTCTCTGGACCCCTCTAGTGGGCAGACCCTCAGCTCCATCAGTGGTAGCAGCCCCTGCCAGGGCACAGCAAGGAGGGTAGGGCTGGGACACTCTCAGTGGGAGGTGGCCGCTCCCTCTCCTCCCGCCTCCTCCCTGCGCCCATCCCCTCACCTGGAAAGTGAGCCCTTTGGAGCCATGGGCCTGGAAGTAGAGGTGCGAGGGGAACAGCTCCAGGTAGCAGTCGCTGGTGTCCTGGAGGAGAGCAGGCGGCGTCTGAGGGGCTGGGGGCAGGCCTCAGGCTGGTGCCTCAGCACTCCTCACCCGGCCAGCCCCCACCTGGCTGTGCTGAAATCGCAGCTGGACCTTGGCGTAGTGCACAACCTTGCCCAGGTTCCTCACGGGCACCCTCCGCCGTCCTTTCTTGAACACAGTCAGGAACGGCTGCTCCAGGTTTTCTCGCTGGCTCTCCAGGCTTGGGATATCCTGCAGGGAGCAGAACTCAGAGGAGAGGGCCTGACTTGGGGCCGGCAGCCCCGAGCCTGGACATACCTGCCAGTCACACAAGACACAGATTAAGAACACACACACCCCATCATGCATGCCTACGGAACCTACACACTCACGCACGCACGCACACATGCACGGCTTCCCTGCCATCAGAGCGATGTGGTCTGGTGGTGGACACAGTGAGGCGAGGTCTGGACTCCGCGGAGAGTCACCCATGTTTCTGCCACTTCCTGAGCTGTGTCCCCTTGTCCCAGTTACTCAACCTCCCGAGACCCGTGGGCCAGGGGGGTTTCCAGGCCTCTGAGTGAGGCTCGCTCGAAACCCTCGGGTGCCTCGAGCTGCTGGTGGATGTTTAACATCTGGTTCTACAAAAGGAAGGCATACATACTCCCGCCACAGCCCATTTCAAGCTACTGACGTGATGTCAGTGGATGTGGAACTGGGGAGAGATGCAGCGATCGGTTCTCGAGAGTTGGTGCTAGCCCCCAGCCTCACCACGTGCCCTGTGACCTTGCTCACAGTGACGGCCAGGGTCCTGGTGGCCCTCCCCTCACAGCAGGTACACGTCTGTCCTCGCTCTTGTTGTTCCCTCGGCCTGGAACATTCAGCCCAAACTCCCTTCTCACCCTTCGGGGCTTGGCTCAGACCTGACCTCCTCGGTAAGGTCCTGTCTGGGTACCTTCTGACCTCCCACCTTCCCTGAGCCCTCGGCACATGTTTCCTCCTTAGCGACAGCCACATCTAACTTATTATATCTTCCACTTGTCTTGCCATCTGGCTCTGTCACAGGAATGGGAACACAATGAGAACAGGGTCTTTGTCTGTTTTTCCCACTGCTGTGTCCCCAGGGCCTAGAGCAGGCCTGGGATGTCTGCAGAAAGAGGGAGGGTCGGCGCCTGCAAGCCCTTGACCAATCCTGGTCCAGAGAGCCCTCTACAAAGAGGGGCTGAGTCATCAGATTGGAGTCAACAGGGACGGGTGCTGACCTGGGGCTGAGGGGCCGAGGTCGAGGGACTGAGTTGGGGAGAGGGCCACGCTCCCTGTGGGAGCTGGCTCGGGCTACCTCTCGGGCTGCTGTGCTCTGGCCAAGCTTAGCCGCCCCTTGGGCAAGCCCAGGAATGTGAACAGACCGACACACAGCTTCCTGGCCTCCCTGCCTCTGGGTGGGGCCTCCTGTACCCACACCCAGGGCAGGGATGACGCCGGAACGGGACCATGAAAAATAGGCCACGGAGCAGGACAGGCCAAGCAGCTGGCCCTGTGGGCCAGGCTCAGCCTTAGGGAGGAAGGGCCCAGGGAGGGGCCTGCTCAGAGCCGTGGCAGGGCTGGCTCATGTGTGGGTGCAGAACCCTCCATAGGGCAGGGCCCATGAGAGCTGGCTCCTCCCCCGGCCCCACCTCCCAAGGTTCAGCATGTCTGGCACCCCCTCTAGCCACCATGCACTGGCAGGAGAGGACCATCAGGGCCACCATGCCTCAGGGAACCCCACCAAGGTCACATGATATGTCCTGGGCCTGGACAGATGGAGTTGAGGTCTGAGATACGGCCACATGGAAGGAGTGCATCCTGGCCTGGCCAAGCCAGGCCCTGAACGGAAGTGCTCTGTCCATGTCTCTGAGGAAGCATGGTTTCTGAAGCCAGCATTGGCCCACAGGGAACCCTGCGACCTCAGAGAGCAGAAGAAGGGTCAGGCCCACCAGTCCTTCCCAGCCTGATGGGAACACATTGGAAAAGTGGGCTCTGAAGCCCACACCAGCTGCTAGGCCTCAAGAGGAGGGTGTGAGGACCAAGAAATAGAGGGGGGGAAGCCCTGGCCCAAGCTACTGGCACAGAGTCACAGGTGTTCCTCCTCTGTCCTCTCCAGATGCTCCTGGGGTAAGAAATTGGGGGATCATTTCCCTCACATCCTGGGGCCTCCATACATAGTGGAGCCTGGCCTTGATCCAACGCCAGCCATGTTGGGAATAGGGCTGGCTGTCTCTCTCTCAGCTAACCCTTAGCCCCACAGTGAAGGGCAGGGCAGTTGCGTGGTATTCAGCTCAGAGGTGGCCTAGCATGTGCTTGGGAGCCACGTCCTTGCTGTGTGGACTTGGCAAGGAGACATAGCAGATTGCTGTGAGATGAAGCACAGGACATACCAAGGAGACACCACCTGGGAGAAACTGAGGCCTGGAGTACGTGAGAGGCTGGCTCACTGTTTACCTGAGCCTCTCACTCTCTCAGAGTGACAAGGTGGGTGAGGGTTCACAGCCACACTGCCTGCATGACACCAGTGCCCACACAGCAACAACACAGACAGGCGTGTGCCTGGTCCCGGGGATCGGGCAGACACCAGGGCTCATGGCTCACAGGGATGGCTCTGAATGTATGGCTTGGCCATGGCACCCCCTCCGGTGCAATAGAGAGACTCCTGGAGGCCCCGCCCGTGGCCCGCCCCTGCCGGCTGCTCGCTCACCCCACTGACTCAGTGTTGGGTCTCAGTTTCGCTCTCTGCTCAGACTTTCAGCCAGATGAGCTCCCCAGGGCGGGGCAGTGTCTACTTCCTCACCTTGTTCTGGATTTGACTCCCCCCAGCTGCCAGGGGAAGACCTTGAGCTGAGCGAAGACAGGACACACACATGCAGTCACATACAGACCACCGCCACCGCACCCCTGCAAGTGAGCTCGTCACTTGAGCTGGGACACGCCCACCCACCAGCTCACCGTCCCAGGGATGTAGCAGAAGATCTTGTCGGCAGTGGTGTCCCCGTCGGGACCGGCCTCGGTGCCAAACAAGCCAGTCAGCTTCCTCGCGCCATCCTCTCTGGGGACAAGGGAGGGGGGCTCACAGCCTGGCCCCCAAGACAAGTTGAGGGCGACCCTGTGACCCAGAGGCCAAGGCTGAGCCCCTGCCCCCCTCACCTATTTCCCTTCAGTGAAGGCTTTCTGGAGAAGGAGGCCCGGAGCCTCCGAGGTGCCTGAGGGACACAGGGGCTGTTCCCCATGGCGTTGGCGGCAGCAGTGGTGGCTGGCCAAGCTGAACAGGTCGACGTCTGGGTCCCTCTGTTCTGAGCCTCCTGCCCCTGCCTCCCGGGGCGGGGCTCTGGGAAATTGCCCTGTATCCAGGAGCCGGGCAAAGGCGGAGCCTTTCCAAGGAGGGACCTGGCCCTACCTGAGCCGGGTCTTTCAGTTCTTGCCCGAGTCCTCCACACATGCAGTCCAGCCTGGGGGACAGGGGGGAAGTACCCCCCACAGCCCAGTCAAGAGCCCCCCACTCAGCCTCCAGTCTACAGGAGGGCCCTTGAAGGCCTGGCCTGTGAGTGCACTCCCTGCCTACACGTAGGCTGGGGGGTGCCTGGGGCTGGAGGTTGGTGAGCCGAGGGACCCCCTTCCAGGCCTCCCCTATGTGAGGACACATCCTGTTTCCACGTATATGCCAGTCTCTGAGTCACCAGTGACTGTAAGGGGGTGTGCCTGCTCTCAGCCACGGAAGCAGGAGTTTGCAACATCGGGGAAGGGGAAGCCAGGACCCTCTCCCAGTCCTCCCCTGCCCCAGTCCAATCCTCATCTCCAGCTGTCAAGGTCCCCGAGGCCTACCCAGAATCAGGAAGGAGACCACAACCCTCCCAGGTACACCCAGGCCATCACGGTGAGGTGAGAGGATGCTGTGCAGGCCCCCCTCCCCAGAGCCTGAGGTGAGCCAGGGGCCACAGGAGCCTCTCAGGATCAGGCTGACGGTGAACCATGCTCCTGGTTGGCACTTGTTGAGGACGTCGCCAGTTCCGCCCCACCTGGACACGATGGTGCTGCCTCAAAGCGCTCAAATGCCAACGCAGTGCCTGAGCCCAGCTGCAGACCCACCCCCAGGCCGGCCCGCTCCACCCAGACAGCACCCTGAAAGGCAGAGATGGATGCTCAGCCTCAGGCCCACAGAGCCCAAGAAACGTGTTTATTGTTCAAGTCGACTCATATTGCTGTGTGTGGTCTGTGGCACACGTGTGCCCAGCTCAGTGCAGGATCCAGAAAAGACACTACCCCACAGGAAGGAAGCCCAATTTGTGCCCTCCCTGGGAGCGTGCCTGGCTGGGGGAGGAAAAGGCGGTGTGCAAAGTACAGGCTGGGGGGGGTCTGTATCTGATTAGAAAGCCCCCCCACTAACCCTGGCTGCTCTGCATCTGACCCGTGATCCCCCAGACCTGCAGAGGCAGAGTTGGCCCAAATGTCCACCCCCATTGCTCCCTGGAGCCCCCAGCGGATGGTAGGACACCCTGAAGGGCAACTTGCTCCCAGAGACACAGACACTTCGACTAAACGTATAAACTGGGAGCTGCAGCGCTGCTCATCCACCAATAAATAATGAATAAATAAACGAATAAATAAATAAACGGCACACAGAGAAACTAACGCTGAGGAATGAACACAAACGGGTGGCCTCAACAGACAAAGACGTGGACAGACGGTGCAGGACGCCCCAGGTGGGGCCACCCCTTGGGGCTTAAGGCATGTGGAAGGCCGCGGGGTCGGCCTCTGTGCAGTCCCTGCCGTAGGTCAGAGGCTGGTGGACGACACGGACAGCGTGGGCGAAGAGGGCGGCGGGAAGTTGAGCAGCTCAAGCACCGCCACACCCACGCTGCTGCGCCGCGTGAACATGCAGGCGGCAGCCACCCACTTGTTGGTCCTCGGGTTGTACTTCTCAATGGAGTTGAGGCTGGAGCTACCGTCGTTGCCCCCCACGGCGTACAACCAGCCGTCCATGGCCACCAGGTCATGCGTGCTCCTGGAGACGGGTGGTCAGTCGGGCATGAGCCACGGGGCGGGGCCACCAGGGCGTGGGAAGAGTATCTGGGGGCGGGGCCACCAGGCGTGGGCGGAGCCTCTGGGGGCGAGGCCACGGGGAGGGGGGGGCGTGGGGGGAGGAGCCTCTGGGGACCAGAGTTGGGAAAGCCTAGAAGTAGAGGGCAGGGGAGGGAGGTGTGGGCACACCACACAGGGGTGAAGCTGTGGGACACATCTGTCAGTGTGTGTAGAGGGGAACGGCGACAGGGGACACAGCAGGCCAGTGGGGTGGGGACTGGCGCACCTTCGGATGTTCATGGGTGCCACACTCTCCCAGGCACCAGCCTTGGGGCTATATCTCTCCACCGAGTTGAGACAGCTGGTGCCATCATTGCCGCCAGCCACATAGAGGGCCCCCTCCAGCACTGCCACACCCGCGGAGCTGCGCCGGCTCAGCATGGAGGCCACAGGTGTCCACGCGTTCACCTGCAGTCAAGAGCATGGGCTAGGGGCAGACCCATCACAACCTCCCTCCACCTCCACAGTGTAGACCCCTACTCCAGGGTGGGGTGTCTGTGGGACTTGGGTGGCCAGAGTGGTGCCCTCAAGCAGCTCTTGGGAGGCACTGTGATAGTGGTGTGTTTCGCACCTGGGGCTCGTACTTCTCCACGGAGGCCAGGTGTGATGAGCTGTCGTAACCACCTACGGCGTACAGGTTCCCATCTGCAGGGAGGCAACATGCCCATGGTGCACCTGCTGGGGTGGGGTGTCGGGGGGGGCAGGCAGGGGTGGGCACTACATGAAGCAGGCCCTGTCACCCACCGAGCATGGCTACACGCACATATCGTCTCCGGGTGCTCATGGCGGCGATGGATGTCCATGTTCCCGTCAGGGGGTCATAGCGCTCAGCACTGTGGACACCAGGACCGCCGCTGACCTTGAGCTCTGGCAGAAAGGCTGTCCTGGCCCCAAGACCTGCCCTCCCCATGGAATGACTAAAATCCCGCACTGGGCAGTCATGGAGACTGACTTGAGTCCCCCTGGAGCAGGAAGCAGGGCCTACTAGATGGGCACCATCCACCTGGGCCCAGCCCTGGACTGGTGGGAAGGATCCCAGAGAGAAAAAGAGGGGGCAGTAGGGACTCTGGTGACGTGAGTCAGGTGGCATCCCCCTTTGCTCCCCTCAGGTGTGACCTCTGCTGCCCTGATGCAGCCATACCTGTTGCTGAGACAACCCCGAAAGGCCACCCGGCCCTGACCCCAGCCACTACCTGTTGAGGCAGGAGGCCCCATCGTAGCCACCAGCTGCATACAGGAGCCCGTGCAGGGCAGCCACACCCAGGCAGCTGCGCCTTGTGCCCATGCACACCTCTGGCTGCCAGGTGTTGGTCACAGGGTCGTACGACTCTACAGTGGCCAGGTCTGAAGTCCCATCGTAACTAGGGGAGGGATCCGCTGCCGGTCAGGGCTGGCCCAGAGAGAACACGCCAAGCCCCTGACCCAAGACCATCCTCCACGCTTACCCGCCCACAGCGTACAGCCTGTTCCCAACTGCTGCCACGCCCACTCGGGCCCGGCGCGTGGACATGGAAGCCACCACGTGCCAGCGGTCAGTGCGTGTGTCATATGCTTCACAGTCCCCATGGATGGCAAATAGGCTCCCACCACCTAGAGAGGGGGAGGTGACAAGGCAGGAGGAGGGACCCAGGGAGGCAATGGGCTGGTGGGTGTTGGCACAGCTCGAGGTCAAGGGAAAGGGGACTCTAAGGGTGGGTGGGGACAGGGATTGGCAAGTGGGTCACACTGCACAGGGTCCTCCATGGGGGGACAGAGTAGAGGTGTGGGGTGGGTACCAGACGTGACCAGCACAGGGTAGGTGAGCTCTTGCTGGGCTTGCGGAGAAAAAATGCAGGGCAGGGACGTGGGGGAACTGGACGTGAGGGGACAGGACAGGTGGGCGTACCCACAGCAAAGAGCACGGGGCCAGCACCCTCGCAGCGCCGGGGCCGCGTGCGACTCGTGCCCAGGACGCCCCTCTGTTCGGGCAGCAGGTGGAACTTGAGGGCCTCGATGAGCAGGTCCTTGCAGTCAGGGTGGTGCCTCACCAGGCTCTCGGCATCCACGTGGCCCAGTAGGAAGTCCCGGCTCAGCAGGGGCAGGCGCACACACTTCATCAGCTGAGGGGGGGACGGGGGGTGGGCACGGTCAGGCAGCAGGTGGCACCCATGGGCACATGTTGCCCCGGCCTGAGATGACCCTAGGACACCCTGAACCCTCCTTGAGACATGTGCTCATATCACCCCTGTGGGGGGTCTCTGAACACAGAGAGGCCCAGGTGCACCCAGGCCCTCAGCCATGGTATCCCCTCCCGGACACCACAGGCCCCCCAGGGCCTGGCCTCACCCGAGGGACATGCTGCCTCCGAGCATCCACGTCATGCTTGACCCAGCTCAGGACGGCACGGTAGACATCCTCCTCCGAAGGCACGTTCAGGCTGTCACTGGAGACCAGTTCCAGCACCTGGGGGTGGGGACCCTCAGACCTGAGATTTGGGCAGGACCCTGAGGGCCCATGGAGCCCTGAAGGTGCCTGGGAGGGACAGTCCAACAAGGGGCCCAGTGTTTCTATGAGGGAGCCAAGCAGGGTCAGGAGCCTCAGATCTGGTTCTTGGGGGCCTAGTCCAGAGCAGCCCTGGGGACGTGGAACCAGGAATTCAGGGTTGAAAGCAGGGATGTGGTCAGGACAGAATGAGGTCAGGACAGGATGGGGTTAAGAGTCGAAAGTGAAGGCCTGGGTACAGTCAGAAAATAGGGAAAGGGTAGAGGGACCCAGGGGATGGATGGTGGGGCTGGAACATGGGTCAGAGGCTGGGAATAAGGACTGAAGAGCAAAGGGCCAGGTCTTAAGGGCCCAGGGGATGGGGGCCAGGGGCTGAGGGCTGGGTCAGGGTCCAGGCTATGCCCCGGCTGGCACGTTACCTGCTTCAGCGGCAACAGCATGAACTCCTCGGTCTTGGCCACGTCCACGAAGTGCTGCAGCACGTACCTGTGTGCCGCCTTGAGTAGGTCGCTGCACGAGTGTGTGTCGGCGAAGCCCCGGATGCCCAGGCAGTTGGAGGGATCGAGCTGACTGAGCAGGAACTTGCAGCAGGCATCACGGACGCCATTCAGCTGCAAGAGGCTGGCGGCCGGGAGCAGAGTCTGTGGGTCGATGTGCGAAAGAGGGCCAGGGGAGCAGGGACAGAGAAATGTGATATAAGGAACTGAGGGAACAAAGAGAGGCACAGGGGGACGCTAGGGACATAGGGAGAGCTGAGGCACAGGGCCCAGTGGGGAATGGGACTGAGGGACAAGGCAGCTCACCTGCACATTGCCTTCGCCCACCACGATCTCAGCCGTGTATGCAAACTGCACCAGCTGGTCCAAGGCCTGGGGGTCGATGTCATGCAGAGTCACGTGCGTCTGGCGGCTCTCACTCATCTCATCTGTGGGGACAGCGGTCAGGGTGGTGCCCACCTGGGAAATCCGTAGAGCCCCCAAGTGCCCAGACTGGATGGAATGGTACTTGCTTGTGAACATGGCGTGGAAATAGGGGCTGCAGGAGGCCAGCACCACCTTATGCGCCCGGATCTCCTTGGCAGCCACGTGCAGGACGATGTCACACAAAAGGCCGCGCTGCCGCATGCGGCTCATGGCCACGAAGGCATCGTGGTAGTGCCGCTTGGAGTTGTGGGACACAGTGTGGCCCTCGCGGCTCAGCAGCTGCACTGCACCCTCCATGGGGGCAGTGGGCCGGGCCTGCCGCGGACGTGCACGCTCTGCCTCTGGGCTGCAGACAAGCAGTACCAGGTCAGGGTGCACTGTGCAGGGAGCTGCCCACCCACCCTAGACCTTGGGCAGGGCCAGCACTGGTCACCCCTCCCCAGTGGCCCAGACCTGGCTTCAATCAAGGACCAGCTCTCCAGGACCGCCTCTGTCACCTGGGCTCCACCCCAATCTGCTCCTTCTGTGTCCAGGGAGCCTCCCTGGAGTCAAGAAGACTCCTGCAAAAAGCACCTGCTCCCGGCACAAAGCGGGAAGATGCACCTGGTGCCCAGGGTTGGACCTGTACAGCTTCCTCTGCCACTAGCCCTCCCCAGCCGCACACTCCCCTCTGCCCAAGCACCCCCATAAGAGCCAGGCCCCCCTCTGCCTGCGACTCTCATTAAGAACCAGGCTTCCTCTGCCCTCCTCTGTCCATCGCTGGCCACCCTTCCCGCACCCCCGTGGGAGTCCCGTTTCCTCAGCACGGATTGGGCACACAAGAAGTACACGAAGTGAAACTGGTCAGTGCTGTCCCAAGGCTCTGAAAGGGACCCCTAGACCCACCAGCAGAACTGACCTCACTCGACCCTCTGGAGTGGCGCCCCCGCCCCGCCCCCGCCCCCGCCCCCGTCCCCGGCTCATTCTGAAGACAAGCCTCCCGAGCCCTGACCAGAGCAGCCGGGATTCAAGGGCGGCGGGAGGGGGCAGAGCCTCCGAGAGCAGCCGTCTCTGGACACCCTGCCCCGGGTCCGCTGTGTGCGGGGACCAGCGAAGGGGGCTGGACCCTCCACGGGCGGACGGAGCCTGCGGAGCGCCGAGGCTGCCTACTCCGGGCAGCCCGCCAGGGTCGGCGCGCGCCCTCCCTCCCTCCCTCCCTCCCTCCTTCCCGGACCTACTCGGCCCCCGGCCGGGTTCACGGTCCCCAGTCTCCCAGCCCACTCACGCCGGCGGCTGCGGCTGTGGCTGGGGCGGCGGCGGCGGAGGCGCCTCGGGCCCGGGCCCCGGGCTGCCGTGCTCCGGGCTCTGCGTCCTGCCGGCCGGGCGCTCGCTGCGCGGCTGCATGGGCTCGGCCACCGGACCCGCCGCCGCTCCGCGGAGGACGCACAGATGACCGGACGCACGGACGGCTGGAGGGCTGCTCGGCGGTGGCGGCCTGCTCGGCGTCCCCTGCTCCCGCCGCCTGCCCGCAGCCGCTGTTTCTCGGCGCCGCCCGCCCCGCCTCCTGCGCTCCCCCGCGGCTTCGGGGACGCAGCGTAGGCCACGGATCCTCCGCCGGCGCCCCGCCTTTCTCCTCCACCCGGAAGCCCCCGGGTCCCGCCTTCCGACTATCTCCAGAAAGCCTCCAGGACCTGCCGGCCCCGCCAGCTTATTCAGGAAGTGCACCCTCGACACACCGAGAGCCCCGGGGCCTCGCACGTGCTGCCCCTGGGACCTGAGCCAGCCCTGCCTGGGGCCTGAGCCAGCTCCAGGGCCGCAAGCGGCTCTGCCTCTCTGTGGCCCTCGGGCGGGCCCCTTTGCTCTTCGGGCCTTTGCTGGGTTTGCGCCTTGAATCCTACAAGTATAACACCTACAATTACCAGGCCTTGAGCTGGACGCTGGCTGCCGGGGCAGCGGGAAGCACACAGCTTGGGGACCTGCCCAGAGTGTCGCCGGCGCCCTGGGGGCTGTGGGGTCTCCTATTGTGGGTTCAGGCCCGAGGACCCTCGCCCTTAGGCAGGTGGGGCAAGGGAAGTAGGGCATAGGCTGGCTTCCCCACCTCCCTCCTTCCTTCCCCAGGGCAACCTTCCAGCCTCCGGGCCTTTGCACATGCTGGCAGTCCCCACCTAGCCCCGTGTTGTGGACCTAGGCAGATGTGTTCGTAGGTGAATTTCCAAGAGAGGACTCGCTGGACTGAGTATCAAGGATAGCACTTTCAGGCAGCTTTGGCCAAAGTGGCTTCAATATCAGCCCCAGTTTTGCGCGCTGCCTGCCCCCTGCCCCCGCACAGGTGTGGTGGGACCGTCCCGTGACGTGGGGACAGCTCTCGTCTCGCTGACGCTCCTTTGATGGGGCGAGGCCACCTGGCCAGCAGGGCGTCGTTCGTCCTTGGGAACTGCCCACGTGGCCTCGCCATCTGTTTTCTTTGGCGTTTCTTCCTAGACGGCTGGCTTTTTGTTACTGGTCTGCAGAAGCTCCCTGGACAGCAGGCCTGTCTGCTGCATGATCCCCCCCAGAAGCGCGTCGTTCGTCGTCCATGCGCTGATGTCCTCACAGGCACGTGTTTATGGAGGCCGGGGCAGCTGTGGGCCCAGCCTGTCTTCCCCGAGGTCGGTACTGTTATTACTGCCTCTTACAGAGAAGGACACGGATTTGTGAGCGGCAAGTCCTGCCGATGCTCGAACTCTGTCGCCCGGCGCGCAGCAGCGGCGTGCGGGAGCCCGGACAGAAGCCGCCGCGCAGAGGGTGTGAACGCGCCCTCCCGCCTGCATGCCGCCGGGGCCGCGGTGGGAGAACCGCAGAGCCGCCCGGCGGGGCGCGGCGGGGCGGGGCCGGCCCAGAGGAAGTGCGACTGCCGCGCGGCCTTCTGGGACCGGAAGTGCGGCGCACGCTGCGGTCGGCGGGCGAGGCGGCGGGCATGGCGGCGGCGCGGGGCCGCAAGCGGTGAGTGGGGTCTTGGCGGCCGGCCGCTGGCGCGCCGGTGTCCGAGGGGCGCTCGCGCCTTCCCGGGGCCCGGGTGGCGGGGTTCGGCGCACGCGCCGGCGGGGCCGTGACCGCGTCGTGCCCGCAGGCGGCTGGCGGAGCTGACCGTGGACGAGTTCTTGGCCTCGGGCTTTGACTCTGAGTCCGAGTCCGAGTCCGAAGGAACCCCGGACGCGGAGCCACGGGCGGGGCGCGGAGCCGGGCGGAGCCGGGACGGGCCGGGCGGGAGCCCTGCGGCCAGGTGAGCGAGCGTCTCCCGCGCGGCGTGTAAGCCCCCCTCGGCGTCGCGCTCGCCCCACGAGCGTGCCGGCTGCCCTGGGGTTTCGGGACCTCCGACCCTCCCCAGACCCTTCGCGTATCCGGTCGTGGTTCGACGTTTACTGCGCGCCTGCTCTGTGCTGAGTCTTTTCGGCGGGGTGCTCACGTCGGTGAGTGATACGAAGGCCGTTTTCTGGGCTGGGAGAGCTGGCTCGGCCGCGGATGAATCGCAGGGTGTGGTGTCTTAGAAAAGATAGGCGCTGGAGGCAGAAAGGAAAAACAGAAGGGGCTCGAGAACTAGAGGCACAGCTGATGGTCTCTGTTGTGTTCAGTGGAGTGGAGAAGGCGTTCTGGGGAGGTGATAAGTGAGCAAAGGCCTGAGGGAGTCAGTCACGCAGATGGGTGAGGAAGTGTTCTGATGTTTCAGGTGGTGGGAGCCAGCCTTATACAGAGGTGAGTGTGGCTGTGGCAGGAGTGGTGGGGAGAGTAGCAGGAGGTGAACCCGGAGAGGTGATGACGGGGCCAGATCTTATAGACTATAGGCCATTTGTGAGACATCCTAGTACAGCTGGGAGTTATGATGTTCTCTAGCAGTGAATTAAAGTCACGTGGCACATAAGATGAAGGTTATTTGCATTGCTGTGTTGAGAGTAGGTTGGCTGCAGCGATGGAGATAGGAAGAGACCACTATGGTGACTGAGAGAATGGAGCTGTGGTGCTGATTTGAGAGGAGGCGTGAGGGGTTTTGAAAGTGCTGCTGATGCCCATGACACATTGCATGCTGGGTTTGAGAGAGAGGTTCACTTTTCATCTGAGTGTTTGGAGGGGTGGAGTTACCAACAATAGAGCAGAGAGGAGGCAGACCTAGTTTGGGGTTCCCCACATTCAGTGTTGTGTGTGTTGGGTTTGGAATGCACACGTTGAAAGGTGTTTAGAGAGGCTGTTGGACGTGTGAGTGGGGGAGAGAAAGATCTGCTGAAAACCTATCCCCTGGAAATCCCCTTGCCTTGCTTGTTGGTAGCAGTTGTGGAGGGAGCAGACTGAGCCCCATAGCTTCTCTGAGGAGGCCAGCTAGCTGGCGGCGTGAGGGACAGGAAACCTCACACCCCCTCACCTCCCGCTGGTTGTGCCTGTCCATCGGACTTGATGACCTTCACCTTCTCAGCCGGCGTCAAGGCTGTGCATCTGAGCACAAGGACCAGCTCTCTCGGCTGAAGGACAGAGACCCCGAGTTCTACAAGTTCCTGCAGGAGAACGACCAGAGCCTGCTGAACTTTAGCGATTCAGACAGCTCTGAGGACGAAGAGGAGCAGCTCCACTCCCTGCCAGATGTGCTGGAAGTGAGGCCTGAGCAGAGCTGGGCTGGGGCGGGGGGCACACTTGTGGTCTCTCCATCCTGCTCCACCGTGGTCCTCTGTGTGTCTGGTGCAGGAAGCAAGTGAAGAGGGAAACGAGGAGGGTGAGGATGGGTTCCGCAGAGGATCACAGGGGAAGAAGAGGGATTTTGCTCCTGTGACTCTTGCCATGGTTGAGAGATGGAAGCAGGCAGCAAAGGTGAGAAGTGGCATGGAGTGCGCAGTTGGACACACCCCTCCTTTAGGAGTCTACCCTTGCCTCATTTCAGTTACCTGGGGCTGTGCAGGTGGGAGGAGGCAGGTGGCAGGGTATCCTCTCTGAGCACTGGCACTGGAGTTTCCTTTAGAACGAATGAATCTCACTTGGTTTTTCCTGCATGCTAGGAGGATCCAGGGCTGTAAGACTCCTTCAGTAACAGATTCTAGGGTCTCTGTTTGCTCCTTTTTTCTCAGTTTCTCTCTTGGGTTCCCTGCTCCCCCAAGTCTCTTGTGGGGAGGATGTGGCCTCTGTGCCTTTGCTGGTTAGTGGAGTCAGGGCCCTTCTTCTCAGGTCTTGCAGTGGCTTCTTCAGGGAGAGGACAGAAAGAGAGAACTCCAGATATCACCTGGAGCTGGCTATTGTCCAGATCCAGAACCCTCCGCTCCTCCCCCATGGTCCCTGAGCTAGGCTCCCTGTCCTTCCAGGAGGATTCCAGACTCTGTGTTTTTGTTCCCAACACGTGGTGCAGTAACGCTGCCCCCACCTGTGCTCTGTGTCTGAGAATGTGGGCAAGGGGTGCCTTTTTCTCATAGAGCAGGTTCCTGGAGCCCTGGCTGCTCTCGCTCTGTCTAGCACAAGCAACTGCACCCCTAACATTCTGGGTTCTCTTGCCCCTTTAGCAGCACCTTACTCCAAAGTTGTTCCATGAAGTTGTGCAGGCGTTCCGAGCAGCTGTGGCCACCACCCAAGGAGACCAGGAACGTGCTGAGGCCAGCAAATTCCAGGTTACTGACAGTGCCGGTGAGCTTGGGTGAGGGGCCCTGGGATGCAGGCTCTCTGTTGCATTTTCTGTTGTGTGAATGCCATCCGTGGTCCCCTCACTGCAGTGTTCAACGCTCTCGTCACCTTCTGCATCAGAGATCTGTTGAGCTGCCTCCAGAAGCTGCTCTTGGAAAGAGCCCCAAAGGACAACAGCAGGTGAGAGGGAAGGTGAGGTGGCGGCATGGTCAGGGCCCTGTGCTGGGGAAGGCAGAGGCCTGGTGACCTGGCGGCCCCTCTAGACCCAGCCGCACAGAGGGATGTTGAGAGCAGAGCCAGGCTCTTTGTGGGGTCCTGGGAGAGGCTGGGCTCAGGGCTAGTTTGTTTCTGCAAAGGGAAATTCTCTGCCTAGAATGTCTCAGGCCGGAGAGTGTGTGCTTGGCTTTGCTTCCCGGTTGTTCCAGGTCAGCATTCTCTCCATTTTCTTCCTCTTTGGATGACTAAGTCTTGTCCACTCTCTTTGCTCTTTGCTCTGTGGCTGGAATGTGTGTCTCTGGGTACAAGCCTTGTTGGTCTGGGTTTGAGAACTATACCTTCCACATCAGAGGTGGATTGAGCAGAGAAGGCCGTGGAAGGTCTTTAGAAGGGAGAGTAGAGCAGCAGAACTTTGGTAGAAGGGGAGCTGTATTGGGGCTGGGGGGCTGTGCAGCCACGTGGCCTGGAGGCAGTAAGGGCCTGGAGGGTCGCACCCAACCCACACCTTCCAAAGGAATAAAGGAGGCTTCAGGGAGGGGTTCTCCTGTGGGAGGTGGGAGTTCCTGGGCCTGGTGGTGGCATCAGGGCTGCACTAATGGATCAGGGGGTGCAGCCCTGTCTGAAGCGGGCAGGGAAGCTGACAGATGGGTGAGAGTGCAGGGGACTGGCAGTGAGTCAGCGGGCAGCAGACGTGCGCAGGGTGAATGGAGCCGGTGCTGGCCAGGTGTGTGCTCTCGTGTGAAGGGGCTGCTGCACTGGGGACAGCAGTCGTCAGGAAGGGCGGCGGGCCTTGGGAGAGAGTGAACAGCTGCTGCTGGGGCGGGGTGAGCTGGCTGCAGGTGCCTAGCAGCTGGTGTCAGTAGATGGGCAGACTTTCCAGGGCCCCTGCCTTTGTCCTTTCGTGCACGTCAGCAGAGTTTGATGAGCACTGCTGTGTGCTGGGTTCTCTGAACGCTGGGGGCGACGCCTTCGAGAAACTTCCAGGCACATCAGCTGCTATCATCAGCTCTTGCAGTTTTTCAAGAGGTCAGAGTCTGGATTAAGTGGTGAAACTAAGTTGTAAGTTGGATGACTTGGTTTTTTTAAGAAAACCTCCTTGTGACGGTGGTTAGCAGTGCTGGTGTTAGACCTCGGGCTCTGTAGTGCCGACTGAGGAGTGTGGGTGCCTGACAGTATGGGTGCCTGACGTGGGACCAGGAGGAGGTTTATGTCTGAGAGAGGGAGGTGGAGGCGGGGAGTTCTCTGGGGGCTTCCCGGGAAGTGACCTGCCCTGGGCTCAGACAGGGAGGACAGTTGCTCTCGGTCCTCTGGCCAGGATGGATGGCCCGTGGGAGGGCCTGGTGCTGCTCCTCCTCAGGCGTTGATTTAGGCCACCCTTGAGAGGGTCTTGGGGCAACCCTCATGTCAGTCCAACAGTAAGGCGCCCCTGAGTTTTTCGTGGGGAGAGATGGGGGGTCTCCCCAGAGGGCCCATGTGCCCATGTGTCCTGGGCACTGCACGGATGGGACATGGCTCAGGACACACTCCTGCCTCCTTGCGGCCTCATGTCCAAGCTGCAGGGGCTCACTGGATGGGGTGGGTGCGGTCTCTGCAGGGTGCTGCAGCCGTCCAGTAGCCCACTGTGGGGGAAGCTCCGCCTGGACGTCAAGGCTTACCTCAGCTCGGTCATACAGGTGCGGTTCTGAGGGGGAGGGTCATGTCCAGTAGTCCAGCCTTTCCTTGTATCCTGGATGTGAGTGGGTTTTGACCTCACTGAGCTCTCCTTCCTTAGCTGGTGGCCTGCGTGGCAGAGGCAACAGTGGCAGCAGCCGTCCTTCAGCATGTCAGCAGTGCTGTGCCCTACTACCTGACCTTCCCCAAGCAGTGCCGCGTGTTGCTCAAGGTGGGCAGCCCTCACTGTGTTGGCATGATTGGGGTGCACATGGCCACCCCAAACATGTCCCCCTCCTAGCCAGAGTGGAGAGGGAAGGGGAGGCATTTGTGCCCGCCTTGCCCTCAGGACGGCACAGCCGGTCATGTGAGGACAAACTCCCTCGGGCAGACATTTTCTGACGTTTTTGACAAGAGCCACGCTTGTCATCGTCACGTGACGTGCGCTGATGCACGCGCCCATAACGACAGAGCACCGCCCTGCTGGGTGAGGTGTTCTGTCTGGCACTCTGGCTTCTCCCTGAGCGAGTTCTAAGTCTTGCCGCTCCCCCCCACCCCCCGAGGTGCTTTGGGAAGGGCTGCGCTCAGCAGTGACCACAGGAGCCTCGGGGTGGCTTGGGGAGACAGGGACGGGCAGTGACGGCTGCCTTCTGCAGAGGATGGTGGTCTTGTGGAGCACGGGCGAGGAGACACTGCGAGTACTGGCCTTCCTTGTCCTCATCAGAGTCTGCCGGCACAAGAAGGACACCTTCCTGAGCCCCGTCCTCAAGGTAGGTGGGCTGGGGTCCCCTGCCTGTGGTGCCCCCAGGTCTGTGTCTGTCAGAGTCTGGGTCGAAAGTCTCAGCCCGAGGGCCAGCAGGCTGCTTTGTGGTCGGTGCCCCTTGCTGGCTCTGTGGCCCTGAGCAGTCCCAGGCCCTCGTCATGGTTCCTCCCTGAGAAGTGGGGGACAGTGACAGGGATGGGAGCCCTTGACCCCCCTGGGGCTCCATGGGGACTGCTCCACACAGCTCTCCCCTCCATGGGCGAGGACACTGGTTGTGGAGAGAGACAGGGACCCCGCTGCCTGGCCCCAAGCCTGGGGTGGCCTGCCCTGCACAGGGACCCTCTGGAACCCCCTGCATAGGCCTGGCATGCAGCAGGGGCTTCCGACCCCTCCCTCCCAGTCCCTCCAGGGTCTCCTTGACTGTTCCCGAAGTTATTTCTGTGGCAGCTCACCCTTCCCCTGGTACCCAGCCTTCCCTAAGAGATCCCTCTCCTCTGCACTGCAGACTGTGCCCAAGGTTGGGGGGCACACGTTGGGGCTGAGCAGCAGTGGGGGCCAAGGTGCTGGTACCACGCAGGGGGAGGGGGCTGCAGTAGACATGGCCGGGCTGAGGTACTTGCTGAGGCTGCGGCTCCGAGGGGAAGGCCCAGGTGTCTGGCGGTGGTGGTCTATAGGGCCCTGGGAGCTCAGGAGTGGTTCTGACTAGGGTCTTCCTGCAGCAAATGTACATCACGTACGTGAGGAACTGCAAGTTCACCTCCCCCAGCGCCCTGCCCCTTATCAACTTCATGCAGCGGACTCTGACCGAGTTGTTTGCCCTGGACACCAGCGTTGCCTACCAGCATGCCTTCCTCTACATCCGCCAGCTTGCCATCCACCTGCGCAACGCAATGACCACGTGCAAGAAGGTGTGCAGTTGGGCTTGGGGGCAGTGAGCAGCCCAGGAGCCCCACCCGACCAAGGACCTGGGGCCTCCTGGAAGCCCCGTCTCTTGGGAAAGACAACTCAGCACTTTGGTGGGATCAGGGTCATTGCTGGTGGGGGCTGTGGGAGTAGGTGGAGGATGGGGGCAAATCAGAGGACCTTGAGGGGCTGGGGGGGGCGTGGGGGGCACAGTGCTGCTGCTGGCTGGGACCCTGTGCACACGGTGAGTGAGGTGGGCTGAGTCCTCCTGGGACCCCTGGCCTGATCTGTACGTGGACTCCACTTTGTGCCCAGGAGACATACCAGTCAGTGTACAACTGGCAATTTGTGCACTGCCTCTACCTGTGGTGTCGTGCCCTCAGCACCATCTGTCCCAGCGAAGCCCTCCAGCCATTGATCTACCCTCTCTCCCAGGTTGTCATCGGCTGCATCAAGTGAGCAGGGACGGGCGGGGCCACCTGAGGGCTAAAGGAGGTTGGGGCCAGGATCCCACGGGGCTGTCCTGGGGTCAGGGTTAGGGGAGGCCAAAGTTACACAGGAAGCCTCCTGGAGGACCAGGAGGGTCTGGGCAGTGCCTCTGGTGTCTGGGGCCTCCAGGGTTTGGGGTCTGTGACTTGGCAGCATCTGAGGTGAGCAGGGACCTGGAGTGGGGCTGTCTGTGGCCCATGCCCAGCAGGGGGAACGCCCTGCGCTCGTGGGCAGCAGGCTTCTCAGTTGCGTGTGGTGTAAACTCTTCCCCAGCGCCTTGGTCCCAGGACGTGGCACATATACATTCTGGGGATGCTGGGTAGGGGGCCGTGTGCAGTGTGAAGGAATTGGGGTTCTTGGACAGAGTGGGTCTGGTGTGGTGTGCCACATTTTGGGTGTGAATGGTCAGCGTTGTCTCCAGGGGCAGAGAATGCAGGAGCCGCATGTGGTCAGGTTGCTGCCTCTGTTAGCCAGGAGGGGGCACCCCGTCCTCCTGACGGGGGAACCCTGAAAGCTGGGAGCAAGGAGGAAAGAAGGGCTTGACCTAACAACCTTGCCACATTAAATTGAAATTAAGTTACAAGTTGGGAGGGGTGTTCCCTACCCCCAGAAACTGACGAGGAGGCAGGTCCTTCAGCCTGGGACTCCAGTTGGGGCCTTCGTCCTGCCCTGTTCTCTCAGAGGACTCTGATGGGGTGGGTGTGACCCCTGACACAAGTGACAGGGAGGTGCCCTGCTGAGCTTGGAGCCCTGTGGGTAAGGAGGGGTCTCTGAGGCTGGGGCTCTGCTGACTCCTGCCTTCCCGTGCCCCCAGGCTGGTCCCCACTGCCCGCTTCTATCCGCTCCGCATGCACTGTGTGCGCGCCCTGACTCTGCTCTCGGAGAGCACTGGCACCTTTATCCCGGTGCTGCCCTTCATCCTAGAGGTGAGCGGGGTGCATGCCGGGGTGGGTGTCCTGGAAGCACTTCCTGCTGCTCGTGGACCATCGCCCCTTGACACAGGTTGACTCCTGAGTGCTGGCTCCTCATCTTTAGAGCACAGGTTTGGGGAGGGTGTTGCTCTGCTCAGCGCCTTGCTGCCTGCCCAAGCTGGTGGTGCATGTCAGTAGGTGAGAGAGGTGACAAGGATGAGGACAGCTGCCCTGCGGGGCCAGCCTGACAGTGGTAGGGCACAGACTTGAGTTGGTGTTTGCCCAAGATCAGAGTGAGCAGGAGAGCTGGGTCAGAAGCCTAGGTGTGATTCCGAAGCTGTTCTCTGCACCCCTGTTGTGTGTGTGTGTAAATGTGTACGTGTGTGCATCTGTGTGTCTGCACGTGCACGTAGCTCAGGTAGGGAAAGGCTGCCATCTAAAGCCCAGAAATCCACTGGGATTTCACGTCCCCCATTAGAGGGGCTTTAGCCCCCCGACCCTGAACTGCCTAGGGCAGTGTCCCAGCTGACCAGGGCTGAGGTCTGCCCCTTTACCAAGCAGAGGAGGGAGGGGAGACCCAGGGTATTCCAGCTCTGATTACCTGAGGCAGGGACACTGCAGTTTCATGCTCTTACAAACGTCCTTTGGAGACAATCCACTCCCCGGTCGTGTCCTCCGACCCAGGTTTGTGGCCCTTGGCTTGGTGCCCCAATCCCACCCTGCCAGCAGTTCCTGGCATCTGTCTGTCCTCTCTGCCTATGGTCTCAAGGTATCTTGCCCTTTCTTCCTTCATTTTTGTGTGGCCCTCGTCCTGAGCCATGCCTTGGCTTGCTGCAGCTGCACCCCACATATCCCTCTCACCCAGGGGTGCAGGTCTCTCCTCTCTGGAGAAAACAAACCACAGAGGTGGAAGCAAAGCTCTCTGCCTCCGGGAGTCCCTGCCCTTCCCTCTCTGGGTAAGAAAGGGGTTCAGAGCTGCCCTGTGTGGGGTCAGGCCCCCTCGCCATTCCTGGGCTGAGCCAGGCTGGAGAGAGGGCAGTGTCCTCTTGGGAAGCGCTTCTTTGTTGGCTCCATCATGGCTGTTTGTCATCTGGAGCTGGCTGAGCTCAGCTGTGAAGCATCCTCCCCACTCTGCTGGGCCTTCCCTGTTAGGCCTCCCCAGTGTCGGCCACCCATCCACCTCAGGGATGCACCCTGGATCACCCCTGTGTGTAAGTGGTGGGGAGGGGTCCCCTGGCTGAGAGGCCAGACACGGCTCTGGCTCTGCTCCCCCTGGCAGCCCGCAGCCTTCGGACCTAGGGGTCAACTTCTCCGAGTGGCCAAGGCTGATGTGCGCAGCCTGTGGTCTCTCCAGAGAATGCAGGAGGGGGAGCTGCCCAGGCCGTCACCTGAGACCCTGTGTCCCTTGGTCTGTTAGCCCCAGACGTGCAGTCTTGGGGTTGGACCAGGCCGTGGGGACACGACCCTGGGTGAGGATGTTGCAGTGATGGTGGCCCTGTATAGGAAGGACCCCTTGTTTCCAGACACTGGTCCTTAGGGCTTCCTGACCCAGTTTTAGGAGAGGAGGGGATCAGTAGCAGTGCATGTGTGTGCTCTCTTGGTTCTGCCCTTATTGACCAGGGCCCAACTTTGGGACCAAGGGACTTTCTTGGGTGCCAGAGCTCTGGAAGGCAAGCAGACTTACTTGAGGGGTGGGATCTCCGGGGCTGCGGCATTGGCACTGCATCTGGCTGCTTGCCCCTGGTCTCAAGATGGGTCTCCAAGGATCCATGGATGGGGTGTGGGGTGCAGTGGGGTGAGGGGTACAGTGGGGCAGGGGGTACAGTAGGATGTGGGGTGCAGTGGGGCGTGGCCTCCAGCCGGGCGCAGTGGTGGCGGCTGGGCTGACAGTCATGGCCTTGGGGGCAGGTTTTCCAGCAGGTTGACTTCAACAGGAGGCCAGGGCGCATGAGCTCCAAGCCCATCAACTTCGCCGTGATCCTGAAACTGTCCAAGCTTAACCTGCAGGAGAAGGCATACCGGGTGAGGCTGGCCTCCAAGCTTACTGGGAAGGGACTGAAGGGAATGGCCTGAGTGGGATCATGGGCAGGGTCAGAGGGCACTGAGATCAGCATGCTGGGTGACTTGAGGCAGATGAGCATGGACAGGAAGGGGGCTCACCACCCTCTGGAGTTTAAGCATGGACTGGGTCTCCCAGGGCCTCCTTGGTCCCAGCCCTGGTGAGCCTGAGTGTGGCTTCTGGGGAGGTTGTGGCTCACATCCTCTTGGCCCCACCCGTGAGAGCGAGTGTACGTGTCAGAGAGGTGTCTGAGCTCCCCTCCCCTGCTAGTGCCCTGATGCCGCCCCACTTGCTGCCTCAGGATGGCCTGGTGGAACAGCTATACGACCTCACGCTGGAGTACCTGCACAGCCAGGCCCACAGCATCGCGTTCCCTGAGCTGGCGCTGCCCGCCATCCTGCAGGTATGTGCCACTGCCCGGCTCCCCATCCCTGCCCAGATCCCTTGGTGGTGTCTTCCAATGGGTTCAGCTCCCCATTTACACAGGCCAGAGGGAGGCAGCTTTGTCACAGCCACACAGGGCCCACAGCAGAGCCTGGCCAGCATAGGGGTTCTGTGTTGCCACCATCGGGGAGCTAGATCCCTGGGGCCAAGGTATAGGGGGTACGAGCATAGTAGGGTGGAGCCTGAGATGTGGGGCTGTCCTGGGCAACTCAACAAGGACCCCAGGACCTGCCAGGCCCTCCCGAGGCCTGCTACAGCCTGGGGACCAGACCAGCCATGAGGTCTTTCCTGGGGGGAGTCGGGACTGAGCAGGCTCGTCCCAGGCCTGCATCCCTGGATTGGGCTGGTCTCCTGCCTGCATGCTTCCCCAGGTGGTCCTGGGTGTGGGTGGGAGGTAGGGCAGGCTCCCAGTGGCAGGAAACCCTGGCACCCCCACCCCCAGACCTCACCTCACCTTTCTTTCAGGTGGTATGGGGGTCTTTTCTCTCAGGAGTCTGTTCTGGGCCCCTGAGGGGGGTCGATTTGCTTTCAGCCTGGATGTTTCCCATCTCAGGCAGGCCTGTGTCTCTCATGGGTGGAGCGCAGGGGTGGGCACCACCTGGCTCTGTCGGGCCCTAGTGGGCCGATCAGCCCCACCAGTTAGGCCTGCCTGGTGAGGGGGTGGGTGGGGTGCTGCTCACACCTGTGTTGCACCTGGCTCAGAGGCCTATCCAGCAGGTGCATGTGTGTGCACGTGCAAGGCTCTATTTCTGGGCTTAAAGTCCTAGGGATCATGGTCTGAGACAGGTGTCAGCAAATTTTTTTGGTAAAGAGCCAAATGGTGAATATCTTAAGCTTTGCAGTCACATAGTTTCTCTCACAACTCCTTTAGTTTCCTGTCGAAATACGAAAAGACCCCTAGAAATAGGTAAACGAATGAGCACGGCTATGTCAGTACAGCTTTATTTACAGAGACAGGCAACCAGAGGAGTTTGGCCCTGGGAGTAGATCCGTGCTGCTCTACTGCCGCTGCCCCTGTTCCTCCGCCTGGCCCATGGGGCGAGCCCTCCCTAGGCGTGCACCCTGTGTCAGCTCTCCAAGGGCTGGTCATAGAGGCCCTGCAGCGCTCCCCCGCCCCCGTCCCCCAGCCCCAGCCTGTGGACTTGGCTCTGAGCCCGTGGACCCATGACCCTGACCTCCCTGTGGTCACCTGGGTTTCCCAGGCCTGCGCTGATCCTGGGGTGTAGAGCAGCCCTGTGCCTGGAGCTAGGTGGAGCTCCCTTCCTTCTGCAGCTAAAGTCCTTTCTCCGGGAGTGCAAAGTGGCCAACTATTGCCGGCAGGTGCGCCAGCTGCTTGAGAAGGTGCAGGAGAACGTAGAGTTCATCCACAGCCAGCGCCAGAGGGTCTCCTTTGGTGTGTCTGAACAGCACGCAGCGGTCAGTTGGGAGCTGGTGTCTGGGCCCTGGGAGGCAGCACTGCCTGAAGGCACCCATCAGTGTGCGTGTGGGGTTTGGGGGTTTGCACAGGGTGGGGTGTGACCTGAGTTTGCACACAGGATGCCTGGGAGAAGCAGACCCGTGAGGAGGGAACACCACTCACCAAGTACTACAGCCAGTGGCGGAAGCTGAGGGACCGAGAGATCCAGCTGGAGATCAGCGGAAAAGAGCGGGTATGGCTGCGGGAGGTTGGGGCATGGGCATGACTGGCTGGCTTACTCTGAGACTCAGACCTCGCCCCCTGCTCTGCCTTCAAGATTTGGGCAGGGAAGAGGGCTGTTGGGGAGGGTCCAGTCCCAGGGACGATGGCAGCAGGGGTGGCTGGGGCTGTCCCCAGCTGCAGCCTGTCCTGGTGCTACCTCTGCTCTGAGGAGCAGATGTTGTGCAGAACTGGGTGGAATCAGGGGCTTCTCCCATGACCCCCAGGAGGAGAGGCCCGAGGGCTGTGCTGGGGCGCAGAGGCTGCTTCCCCTCCTCAGGCCTGAGGGCTGGGGGCTTCCGGGGAGCGAGTGGCTAGACTGACCTTGTTGCCCAGGCCAGCCTGTGGACACCAGGAGGGCAGGCGGGAAGGGGCAGGAAGCCTAGGTCTGGCCAGTGCTTTCGGGATAGCATGACCCGAGGAGACAGCTTCATGCTGAGTAGCATGCTTGTGACTTTCTGCATCCCTGTCATGGTATCTTTATGGGTCAGTTGTCTGTCCTAGGAGTGATGGCCAAAGATTCAGGAATAGAAAGGTGGCGGTCTGCAGCTGGGCCTCCAGCCAGTGGCTGTGGCGGCACTTAGTGGCCAGTGTGTGGCTGGCAGGGCGGCCATCCAGGAATCCCACCCAGTGGTACTGACCAAGAGTCAGCTAGAGAAAGGGGCCAAGCTGGGCCCTTGCATGGGGCGTGCTAAGAGGCGAGGCCTAAAGTAGGGGAATGGGGTGTTGGTCTGGGTGGAGCCTGTCTTGGGGAAGATGAATGAGGGAAGAGACGCGTCTGCAGTCAGGCCCAGTCAGGCCTGGCTGTAGGGTGGGCCTTGAGGTGGAAGGTGGGCCCTCAGGGCTGCCTGCCCACCCTCACCTGCTCTGGGTCTGGGTCCTTCCAGTTGGAAGACTTGAACTTCCCAGAGATAAAGCGGCGGAAGGTGGGGGACAGGAAGGATGAGGACAGGGAAGAATTCAAGGATCTCTTTGACCTGGACAGTGATGAGGACGATGATACTACGGACTTCTCAGAGAGAGGTGGGGGCCTGCACGTCAGCTGTCCTGTCTGCTGGGCTCCTGTCATGAGCTCCGTCTAACCCTTCCCCTGCCACCTTGCTTGCTTTGGGGGTTGGATTTCCTTTGGGTCCTGGAATGGGAGCCTTGTCTTCCCCACTTCTTTTGGGGCAGTTTTGAACTCTCTCTCCTTGTACAAAGGAGGCTTGAGGGGCGGGTGGGTGCAGGGCTGTGAGCCTGGCTCACTGTCCTGCCTTAGCTGCCCCCACTGTGCATTTGCTGGTGGGCCTGCTCCCATGGGCTCTTCTTGGTCCCCAGGGACGCCTGGGTCCCCAAGACCTCGGCAGAGGGTAGAGGAGGAGGAGGAGGAGGAGGAGGAGGATGGCAGCAGGAGTGGTCCAGAGGAAGCCAGTGACTCAGAGGGTGAGTGGTTCCTGGAGGTGCGGGGGCTCTGAGCCCATGTGTCCGAGAGCCTAAGGCTGTCGTGGGCTCGGGTGGGTGGGCAGGGCCATCAGGAGGATGGCTCTGAGCCAGGTCCACTCCCCTCCCTGGGGATGCCAGGCCAGCTGCTCCACTCCCCCTGGCTCTGGCAGGCAGCAATAGTGGCACCAATAAATTAATTAGTGCTGTGATTAATTAGTGATGAGTAACCTCCAAGGCTGGCTTCTTCCTGATAAAGCAGGATTTATGTAGCCTACGTCTTTCCCTGCAGATGGAGGCCCAGACGCAGAGGCGGGGCTGGACCCCAGGGAGCTGTGGCAACTGGCCCAGGGGCCGGAGGACGAGCTGCAGGATCTTCTGCTCTCCGAGGAGGACTGAGGGCCACCTGGGGCTGCTGTGCAGTGTCCCCGCCTTGCGGGCAGGGCAGTCAGCATGCAGCTTCCTGGCTGGGCTGGCTGGCACTGAGCCCAGAAGCCCTGAGGTCACCGAGTATGCAGGGGGGAAGGGCAGCTGTTGGTGGACGGGGCTTTATTCTTACAACATGAAAGACCATAACATACCGAGCCCTGTGTGGATCTCTGGAGTGGCCGCCGTAGGGTTGGAAACCTGTACTGTAGAGCTTGCCTTCCACTGTACCCCAGAGCTGCTGGTGGGGTACTGTTGCCAACCCTGTGGGGGACCTGGTGACCCCTTGCCTGAAGTCAGGTCACGGAAAACCTCACAGAGCAGTCCCAATGCCAGAGGGAGCCAGCAGGCCTGGCCAGGGCATGACGTGCTGCCTCTGCCTCCTTTGTCTTTGGTTTGTCTGCAGCTGCCCAGGATGCAGAGCTCCTGTGCCCAGGCTCGGGTGCCTAGGCAGTCGGTACTGGGCTCTACAGTCACCCCCAGAAAGCCTTTGGAAAGTCATTTCTTTCAAGTTGCAAGTTTTCACTGTAAAAATTCGTGGTTTTGCATCCAAAATCAAAAGGAAAACAAGTTGTGGAAGGAGGAGGTTGCCGCTGGTGTGGCTGGCACTGAGGGCGGGGATCTGAGTGTCCACCCGGCTCAGCACAGGGGCTGGGAGGGGTCTACAGGCCCTGGGAGCAGAGCCAGGGTTCCATTTTCTTGTTTGGGGGAGGCTCCCGCAGGGGAGTGCTCGCCCCCACAGGGGGAGGGGGCTGTTGCTGGGGACAGGGGCTGTTCCCCAGGCATCAGTTCCTGCTCTGGGGCCCGCAATGGGGGCGGCTGTAGCGGCAAAGCCACTGGGCAGCTGGCCATGTAGAAAACGCGGCCCAGGCGCCTGGCCACCTGTGGAGAGACAAGCCAGGTAGGCCTTAGCCCCTGAGAGCTTGATGCTGCCCCTCCATTGTTTGGGGACCACCACTCCCGTGGGTGCTCACCTGGGCCCGGATCTTGAGAGCAGGCCCCAGCTTCAGCCCCATGGTTGTCAGGAGATGCTCCTCAGTCAGCAGGGGCAGGGTCTCTCCATCAATGCCCTGTTCTCTGAAGACCTGGATGGAGGTGATATGGGCCTGAGGCCAGGAACAGTGCTTGCCCACCTGCTGGGTACCCTGCAGCCCAGGGAAGGCTGGGTGTCCTGGAGTGACTCCAGGCTTTCCAGAGAGCAGGATCAAGGAGCTGTTGGTGCAGCTTACAGGGAAAACATTCAACCAAAAGAAAGATACCTGTTTTGCCAGGCATATACCAGTGTTGAAGGCAGAAACCCTGGTGTGGCAGAGAAGCAGGAGGAGCATGCCCCTGTGTCCGTCCCCTCCCCAGTTTTCAAAGAGAAATCGGGGGTGGGAAGAGGCACTAGGGGAGCTGAAAACCATCTTGGGCAGATGCCCCCTCACCGGTGCGTATTCTCCACAGCCAGACAGGCCCCCCACAAAGCTGCAGACATCCTCCACTGTCCACTTGCTGACATCCTCCGGGGCTGTCGCCTCCCCATCCGTGAAGAGTCCCCCCATGGTGCCTGGCAGGGGATGGGGCTTGTTATTAGGACTCTGACCTGCTCTTTCCTATGCTCCCGCCCTGTCTGCTGACCTCTGCTTGCCCTAATTGCTCAGAAATGTTGGATCAATGACTGAGAGGCATTTTTCTCCCCATGGATGCCCTCCCTAAGACCTGGGGTGGGGCGGGGACAGGGACTGGGTCTCCTTCTACCTCATGGAGGGATCTAAAGCATGGAGTGCGGTGCCCACCTGTGTGGAAGTAGGGGCTGACGGCGTAGGGTAAGCCCAGGGGCAGTGGAGGGGGCAGCATGGACCCTGAGAGAAGCCCCTTCCCCTCAGAGCTGGCCCCTCCAGCTGGGGCTTGGCCTGGGGTGGGGCCCCGGCCCCCAGCAGCCACCATCTCAGGATCTTCTCCGTCTGAGTCCTTGGGGGGCTCATCTTCAGAACCATCTGGTGCCCAGAGCCCAGTCCCGGTGGTCTCCTTGGACTCACTGGGCCTGGCTGAGGCAAGGCTGGGGCCCCCCTTCCCAGGGGCCCGGCGGGCAGGCTCCCGGGGCGGGGTGGGGGGCCCGGGGCCTGGGGGGCCCTGGGGGGGCAGGGCCAGCAGCGGCGCGGAGCTGTGTCTCAGCACCAGCATGGCGCCGCGTCGCTGCAGCTCCTCGGTGCCCTCGGGCGGGCGCAGCGAGGCCTCGGGCGCCAGCAGCTGCGGCCGGTGCGCGCTCTCCAGCTCCTTCTGACGCAGCAGCTCCGCCGACATCTCCAGCCTGGCCCGGGGAGAGCGGGCCAAAGAGGGTCAGCCGGCTGGCAGTGCCGCCTCCGCCCCACCGTCCCCGCGGTACCTACCGCGCCAGGTTCTGCTTGCGCAGGAGCTCCTGCTGCCGGGCGAGCATCTCCGCCTGGGCAGGGGGCAGGAAGCCGTAACCTGGTGGGAAGGGGATAGACCACGAGGCCAGGTGGCCGAGTGGTCCAGGGCCACCCAAGCCCACCCTGGCTGGTCCTTGGCTTCAACAGGGGCGGGACGGATCCTCCGGGAGCACTCTTGGATGCAGGGTCGGTCACGGGCAAACCCGGATGGCCCCGTACGAACGGCCCCCCAGGACACAAAGGGCTCGCGCACCCGCCTGCTCCTCACCTGGGGTCTGGCACAGAGCCGAGGGCACCCCCAAAAAGGGGGGCCTGAGGTGGGGGCCCAGGGCGATGTGCGGAGCATTCTGGGGCGACAGCAAGGGGGGCGGTTGCGACAGCTCCCTGCGGGCGGACGGCCGCGCGGTGAGCTGCCCTCCATTCCCGAAACGCCCCGCCCCCGCGCCGCCGCCTCCGCTAATTGCCGCCCCGCGGGCGGTCGATGCGCCGCTGTCACGGCTCCGGGTCGCCCCCCCGCCCCCGCCGGCGGCGCCAATTAATCTCGGCGGCGGCGCGGAGGCGCTGACCCGGCGGGCGGCGGAGACGGCAGCGGTAATTACCGCGCGGCGCCGGGCCCCCTCCCGCCGCCGCCCCGCGGACCCCGCGCGCCGGGGGCGGGCCGCAATTAGCCGCAGGCTGGGGGCGGCGAGGCGGCTGCAAACGCTCCGGGGCGGGGGCGACCGCAGGAGGGCCGCGAGCCGGCGCAGCCCTGCCGGCCTCCCAGCTCGCTCACCCTTCGGCCTGTGCAGGTCGACCAGCCCCCTCCCCTCCTCCGGGTCTCCAACCCGTCTGTGTCGCCATCGGCGCGTATGAATCCGTGCTGCGGCGGTGCCCTCCCCGCCCCCGCTCCTCCGACTTCGGGGTTTTCCGACCTCGCGCTGCTCGCCTCTTCTGCTCTCTCCGCACCACCCTATTCACGGTCTCCCCCAATCTGCCTCAAGCCCCCTCACCTACCTGGTGGAGGAGCAAAGCCCTCAGCTGTCTCAGGGCCACCTGGATTCAAGTGGCCCCACAGTTGCTCAATGGAGACGGGAGTCGCCCTAACACCCCGCCGAAAGGCGGTCACCCCACACATTCCCACCCCAGGAATGTTCTCCTGGACCTCTGCCCAGCTCACTGGGCATGGACGCAGGGCCAAGTACAGTGCCTGGCACACTCCAGTGCTGTACCCACACGGCCTTGTGGCTGTGACTGGGGAGGGCAGTGTGCACCAGTAAAGGTGCCTGATAGGTGTGGAGGTGCAGGCTGTGCACACGGCCTGCAGGAACCAGGTAACAGATCTGCCCACCCCAGCTCTGTGCCCCAGAAACGAGCATAGGGAATATGGGATCCTCTTTGAAATGCAGGCACCCCAGTACCTCTCTGAGAAGGACGGGGCGCCAGCTGGGGTGGTGCCCTCTCGGTGCTGAGCCAGGCCCTGCTTCCGACGCTGACCTGCTGTGGATGAGGGCAGGTGGACTTCCAGGCCACTAGGGCTCCTCACAGCGGCTGCTGCCACCTCCTGCCGGACCCTCAGAAGATCTGCCAGGGTGGGGGGATGACACACAACAACAGTGACCCAGAGGCCAGGCTCCTCCTGGGCTCTCACTCCCTCCATCCTGGTGAGCATAGCACACTGGCCAAGGGAACCAAGACCAAGTGCCGGTGAGCACACATCCTACACCGACCCTGCTGGTTGGTCACCGGGACAAAGATGAGTAGATGGCCAAAGGCAGGGGTGACACAAATCAGTACTGTGCTGGAGAATGCTGGGCATGGGGCTGGGGGACCAGGAAGCATCTGAAAGGGATATGGGGATGGAAGGAAGGAAAAGGATGGAGGAAGGGAAAGGCCCACAGGCAGGGGAGTCTGGTGGGGCAGGAGTGTTGACATTGACTGGAGTTCACAGGGCACCGGAGGGTAGGCTGCAGGAGCCTTGAGGGGAGGGGGTCGTGCTAAGGCCCAAGAGTGGGGCGCAGGCCTGCTCCTGGAGGCAGTGTGACCAAGGTCCAGGGGTTGGAGTGAGTCTTGAACCCTTCCTGACGCTGCCCACATGACCCTCTCCTAGGTAGTCTGCGGTGGGCTCCATGCGTCCAAGGCACTCTGCTCCCCATTCCTTCCCTTCATCCTGCCCAGGGCCGGGCCTCTGAGTCCCCCCGCAGCACCCCACTTGTGCAGGCTCCGCGCCGTGCCTGTTTATAAATTAATTACCCGAAAAGCGGAGGTGGGTCCTGCCCGGGCCGGGTGCCAGCCCGCAGAGCCCAGCCGGCGCGGCCGCCTGCCTCCATCCCCGCGGGGCCCCGCGCCCCCGCCCGCCCGGCGGCCGCGGTTATTTACAGTCGGCTCTGCGGCGGGGGCGGCGGCGCGCGGCCTGATTGACAGCCTGGCTCCCGCGGCTCCTGGCGGCCGGCACCCCCTCCCCCGCGCAGGCCAGCGAGCCGCCCGAGGCAGGGCAGGGAAAGCAATTAAAAGGAAGGTTTTTAAATTATTAACATTTGGTGAATTATTCAGGCTCTCGGTGCCTGACTGCCCTGGGGGACAGTGCCTGGTGTAAGGAGAGGAAGTCCTGCCCCTTCCCAGCACCACCCCCCTCCTGCCGGAAAAGCCGAGCTCCCCTTGCACGAGGGCTGAGGTCTGCGAGGCCAGGGTACAGCCTGGCAGGGCACCAGCGTCTGCCCCAAGTGCTGTGAGAGGTGGCATGGACAGATGTAGGGAGCCTGTCCAGAGGGCGGGGAGTGGGGCGAGGGCTGCTCCTGAGGGCCTAGTGGCCAAATCTCAACTGCTGCCCATCCTGCCTTCTGGACCTTCCCTAGTGGACACGTTCTGGGGCTGATGCTGCCCTCCTCCTGGCCCCTCCCACCTGGAGACCCAGGCTCTCCCGGCCAGGGGCTTGCGGCACACTTGCACAGACGGGTGAGTCACACACTGGGCCCTGATGCAGCTGGGGCCTGGTGCACACACCAGGCATCCATGGGGACCCGTGTGTCCAGGAGAGGGGCAGCAGGGCCTGGTTAGATCCCACCTCCTACCCTCACTTGGGCTCACATGACTCAGTTTCCTCACCTGTGAAAGGACACTGCCCAAATGTGGGCAGTGAGGGGTGGCCTTGCTGGGAAAGTGTGGGAGACGGTTGGGGTGGGGCTGCAGGGGACCTGCTGGTGGGGGACCCTCCAGATCCTCAGGCAGAAGGAAGAGTAGAGTCATGCCTCGTCGCCCACCCACAAGAGGCCCGTGGACCCACATCCAACCCGGCCTTGGTGTCAGCAGCCAAGACCCCAGGGCCTCTTTCCAGATGGAACAGAGGCCTCCAGAGACAGGAAGAGCCCAGCGCATGTGGGTGGACACTGGGTGAGGGGATTGTGCGGGGGTGTTCGTGGGGGCACATACCGTGGCTGGGCAGGCCCAGGTGGTAGAGACGCTGGGGGTCCTCAAAGGTGCTGGCCTCACTCAGGGTGGACACGAGCCGGCGGTAGTGGTCCTCGGGGGCCATGCTGGGCCCTAGTTCTGGCAGCAGCAGAGTCTCTGTGTGGGGGGAACCGTGGTGGGGGGGCTTTTTCTCCAGATATTGCCGAGGGGGAGACACAGGGCCTCTGCTCTTAGAACCTGCCACTGGGGCTGACCTTGCCCTAAACTGTTGCCTTCTCTCCTCCAGTGACTTGTCCCCCCACCCCGGGGTTGGGCTCCCACCTTGGGGGGACTTGCTTCGGGCCTTCTTCTCCAAAGGACAGTCACTGCTGATGTGGGGGGAGCGGCCCAGCCTCTTGCCCAACAAGTCGCCTGGGGGAGGGAAGAGTGAGCTGGACCCTGTGTCTCAGGGCCTGGAGGGGATGCAGGCTGGCAGACACCCAGCCCAGGCCCACCTCAACACCAGCCTCAGTCCCTGCCCAGCCCCAGCTCAGCCCAGAGCCACACCACATTGCTCAGCAGTGCCCATGGGTCCTGGCCAGGGCAAGGCCTTGCGCAGCCGGGGTCCCAGGCCTTCAGCCAGAGGACATCATGCTGCATTTGGAACAGTCCTGACCCAGGGCTCTGGGTCGTGTGTGTGCGCATGCAGATGTGATGGCAGATTGGTGGTAACAGCCTCAGGCGGCAACTCAGGACTCCACAAGTGCCCTCTGCCCTCCCAGCCAAATTAAGAAGCCTCCTCAGTATCCTGCAGGAGAGGAATGAAAGGCTTTTGATTTGACTGGAATGCACCTTCTCTTCCCAGGACAGGGGTGAGGACTAGCAGTCAGGGTCCCATGCCAGGGCACCCCAAACCTCTTCCTGCTCAGGGAAGTCCCCAGGGTGCAAGCCCCCGAGGTCAGGTGCACCTGCCACATCCATCTCTCCTCGGCCTCTCCACCCAGGCTACACCCCTCGCTGTCCCCAGGAGGCCCGAGCCAGCACCCCAGTCTTGCTTCACATACCTGCCCACCTGCCTAGCGGGCTCTGGGCTCCTGAGGGCATCCCTGAACAGCCTCGCCCACTGTTTACAGCCCTGCACACAGCCTGCCATTGCAGTTGGGGACCCAGGCCCCACCCCACCCCTCTCCTGAAGCCCTCTTAGGTCCCACATCCAAACCACACTCAACCGTCTCCCCGAGCCAGCCCCTCTCCATCCCAGCCCCTTGCTCCCCAAAGCCAGGCTCCCTCCTGAGCCCAAGGCCTGGGGGTCCCTACGGAACAGCTCAGCAGTTGTCCTGATCTCCTGGGCCCACCACAGTGCTGGCCTCCAGGCCAGACCCGTTGCCTCTGGGCCCCTATTCTATCCTCACAAGGTCATCTGGGTAGGTGGAGTGAGGGGCCGCCCCCTCTGTGACCCAGGCCCACTCTGACACCTCGGTGAAGGGGGCTCCGGAGAAGCCCTGCCGTCAGCTCCACAGCCTAATTCCTTTTTCTTATTCCCTTAATCTGTCATTTTTATCAGGCCAGGGAAGTGCGGCAGCCGATCAATCTCCACTTTACAGCTGACAGAATGGTGCTAATAACTTATTGATCTCGGCCACCTCGCTGCCACAGGCCTGGGCCCAGCGGCCCAGCCCCAGGCCCTGCCCTGAGAGGGACGAGGTCCCCACTGCCCAGAGACCTGGCAGGAGAGGCAGGGGGCACAACCAGCATGAGGCCCTTGAGGAGTCCAAAGTCGCCCCAACAGCCTCAGGGCATCAGGGCTCAGCCTCTGTGATGCTGGGCTGTGCCAGGCCTGGAGGTGGGTCTGGGCTGGGTCTATGCCTGTTGCCCACGCCCGGACCTGCACGTGCCCCTCAGGATTTAGCAGATAACTCAGGGATCTCCCTGCCCTGCAAGCTGTTTCCCATTTTCTGCAGGGGGACCTCCCTCTCCCCTGGAAGGGGGACCTGAGGGGAGACCCAGCCCTGTGGGAGCAGTGAAGACCTGCCACGGGGTCTGCGTTACCAGTCCCTGATGAGGCCACACTCACTCGCAGACACACCTGGGGCAGCCACAAGCAGACACAGTCATCAGACACCTGCACAGACCACGTGAGCCCCTCAGTCCTCCCTCCTCCCAGGGTTGTGAGAAAAGGACTGATACGTGGCTTCTGGGGAAGGAGGTGACCCAGGACCGACAGGAATGCATGGAAGCCGATGGGGGACTCTGATGGAACCCAGACACAGCACACACGCGACCCTTTGCTGAGCACGTGTGACTCCTGATGTGCCTGCAGGCTGCCCCGCATCTCAGCATAAAGCGCAAGTGAGGGCGCCCAGACACAATGCGCCAGTGAGCCCTGGCCGCGCAGAGGCCCAGATCACGTGGCCTCTGGTGGCAGCTGGGTGCACACATCTGCTTCCACACGCACACTCGTGCCTGTGTCCCAGGAGGAGGTCCCTGTGTGCAGGCAGCCGGGGCAGGGCCTGCTGGCTCGGAATATCTCAATCACTGCAGGGCTCCCACGGCTCTGCCGATCGATGGGACAATTAGATTTTATCAGCTGCCTGCTCTGCTGCCTCTAACAGGCTCCAGAAGCAGCCCCCCACACCCACCCACACAGGCCTTTCCAGGCATTGGCACACCTGGAGGCACTAATGGGGGTGCTTAGGGGTCCCGGGACAGTAGCCAGTCAGTCCCCAGGCCAGCATTCCTGAGAGCTGCAGCCACTGCCGGAAACTTCCCTGCCCAGGGTCCACAGGACAGGAGGGACCCCCTCCACCAACTCCTTTCGCCCCTGTCCCTTCAGCCAAAGCTCAGCTGTGCCCCACCATATGCAGTGGTGCCTCGTGGCCAAGTCCTCCCAGGACAGCCTGAGTCCCCAGGCTGCCCCCTCCCTCTGAGCTTCTGCTGCCTCCAGGAGCCGCCCCTCTGCAGTGACCCCAGGAGCTCCTGGCCAGCACTCTCCTGCTCCACTCCTGCGGAGGTCCAGTCCTTCTCTCAGGGCATGGACCCCTTCCCTCCTGGAACGCCTTGCTCCGTGGGGTTGGTGGGCACTCCCCTGCACACAGAGCACATCCCTGCCCTCGAGTGAGCCCTGGGTGTGCATTTCTGAGTCTCAGTGAGGCATGCACATCCCTGACCATCCTGCCTTCATCTGCCCCTGTGAAGAAGGGGTGGTAGTGCCCTAGGCCTCTTCAAGCCCACCCCAGCAGCAGCCACCGTGGAGCCACCGCCTCCGCCTCCTGTCTGCCTGGCTGGCCGGGATTAACACAATTACCATCACATGGAGCCCTGGGGGACAGCCGGCCTCGCCACCTCCCGCCTCCTCCACTGGCCTCCCTGGCTGCCCGCCAAGGCTGCTGGGGGTGGCGGCATCCAGAGCCACTGAGCAGAGACATCAGGAGGGTGGCGGGGCGGGCTGTCCTCAGGCTGAGCTGCCACAGCCTGGCAGCCCTGTCATGCCCCCCGACCCCCTGATGCCCCTGGCTCCTCACCTGTGGCTCCCAGGCCGACCTCCACGCCACCTCTCTGGAACTCACAGCGGCTCTGATGCTCGGGCATAACGAGCTGGCGGCTTCGGTGCACACTGGATATGAGGGTGGAAAGGTCGCTGTCCTGGCTGCAGCAAAGCAAGACAGGGAAGGTGAGACCTTGTGAGGCCATGTGTTCAGCCCTGGGCACAGCAAGCGCCTGACCACCCTCGAGCTGTGGGCACGCATGGCACCTGGGGACAGCACCTAAGCATGGCAATGCCTTGTGCACATCTCTGCTTGCCAAATGTCTGCTGGCACAGGGGCCTTGCACTCAGACCCACACTGCTCCAGGGAGGGCATGTGTGGACCCAGGGCCTGGCTCAGTCTTGCCATGCTCTCTCCATGGTGGCCAGTGACTGTGTCCCTGCTCCCCACCTCGGAGGGCAGCCAGGCACCCACCAGGGTGGGGTGCCTGCTCCTGGGGGACAGGCGCCCAGAGGACACACTGTCACACGTACCCCACACTTACTACTGCACCAGCCAGCTGCTTCAGTGAGAACATTGCATGCGCTATTTCAATGAACACTTGCAACCACCCATGGACCCCCAATTTCTTTAAATAAGGAAACCGAGGTTCAAAGTCCCACACAAAGAGATGTGCACATGCAGGGACACAAATGCAGGCACACTCAGGGACACACAGGCACACGCAGGGACACACGTGAGCACACTAAAGGACACACATGGGCACACGCAGGGACACAGGCACACGCAGGGACACACACGAGAACACTCAGGGATACACGTGGGCACATGCAGGGACACGTGGGCACACTCAGACACACATGAGCACATGCAGGGACACACGCCAGCACACTAAGGGACATATGTGGGCACATGCAGGGACACGCTCAGGAATACATGTGCAGGAACACATGAGAGCACACTCAGGGACACACATGAGCACACGCAGGCACACACAGGGCCACACATGGGCACATGCAAGCACACTCAGGGACACACAGGTGGGCACACACAAGGAGACGTGCAAGCACAGTTAGGGACACGCGTGAGCACAGTCAGGGACACACATGTGGGCACACATGCCTGGGCACACGCAGCACCTGCAGACGCACAGACACAGACACCGCAGGCTGGGCCTGCTCCCCTGGTGTGCTCATGACACTGTGCTCTCCCCAAGGCTCCCAGGCGCGTGTGGGCCTGGAATAAACATGGACCTAACTCTTTTGTTCCCTCATCTCTCCTCCTGCTCAATCACAGAACCCGAGAGAGAAGGGGGAGGAGAAAACCCCAGAGTGACTGGATATAAACGGACCCCCAAGCATTTGCTCTTGGGGTTCTGAGAGCCTCTCCCTTAGTGGTCACAGAGAAGGGTCACCCGCCACTTTGCAGACCAGTCTGGAGGGACAGGAAATCAGGACAGGACAGAGGAAGAGCAGAGAGGGAGCCGGGAGCCTCACCCTCCCCCCCAGCTCCCTGGCCCACCTGTACACCAGCAGCCTCCCAGCTCAGCTGCTGCATGGGGACCTCCATGGACTGACCTGGGAACTGACCCTCAACCTCACTAAATAGCCCCAGCCCCCCGGCCGGGGTGGCTGGAGCAGGCTAATCCAGGGCTGGTCCCTAAGCAGATCAGTTTCAGCACCAAAGACTCCAGGGCTGGGCTCTAGAGCCTTCTGGGAGACCCAGACGCGGCTCCCTCCCCCTGTCCCCAGAGGAGGGAAGGCACCCCCTGCAAACAGGAAGGCAGGTGGGGTGGCAGTAAGTACTTTACGGGATTAGTCGGCAGCCTCTCTCATCCTCTCTATCATCCTCATCAATGCGGGGCTGTCTGAGAGAACTGCTGTCCTCAGCACCAGGGAGGGCCGGGCCCAAGAGGCAGGGCCACTATGCCGCGGAGCCTCCCTGAGGGGACCCCCCCTCTGCTGTCCCCAGGACTCCCACAGAAGGTGGAGGCAGAGCAGTGAGGACAAGCCCATCAGTCTGCTCCCTGTGACCCTCAGCCTGGTGCCCACAGGGACCTCGTCTGCCCCACGCCCACCACGGCCATCAGCTGTCACTCCCTGGCTGGTCACTGAGGCCCTCGGGTGGTGCTGCAACTGTGGAGGTGACACCTGGTGGGAATCGGGACACCACATGTCCACCACACCTCAGCTCTCTGCCTTGGGGGTTCACCCCACTGGCCCCAAGACAGCCTGGCTCAGCTCTAGAGAACTGGTCCTGGTCACCTGGTCGATCACTGAACAAATTATGCCAGGTTTTATGTAAAGAACAGAAAGAAAGTTTGCACACACCAGACTGAAAAGGCCTGAGCCCCCTGCCCGGCGTCCTAGCGTGAGGTTCTCGCAGCCATGAAAACACCCTCTCCACCCCGCTATGCACAAGGGACGAAGCCCACGAGGGTCTTGCGAGCTCTCTGTGGTGCCATGGAGTGAGAATACAGAACAGGAGGTGAGGGGAGAGCCGGGGGACCAAGGAGACACGAGGCGGCAGGGAAGGGGCTGCATGGAGGAGGGTGTGCTGGGAGGCCAGAGGGAGAGGGCCTGGAACGCTGAGACTGGGCCCTCAGACTCCAGCTCCCCTTGAGGACCCCTGGCCTCCTCCAGGCTCCCTCAGCGACTGTCACTCTGTCCAGTCCTTCCCATCTCCTGGCCAGCTCAGGGCCGCAGGAGGGCAGGGACCATGTCTCTTGCCAGCTGCCCGGGGTGCACAAGGCTGAACGGGGAGCTCCATGCAGGCAGGCAGTCCACTGCAGAGCCAGACAGACGGAGGGACAGGGACAAACGGACAGATGGATGATGGACAGATGGATGGACAGACAGATGAAGACTGAGGAATGGAGTCAGACAGACAAATGGAGAATGACAGATGGGGATGGACAGATGGATGGAGAGTGAGAGATGATGACAGACACAGACAGGCACTAGTGGACAGAGAGATGGAGAGACAGAGTGGATAGAAACAACAGGAGGACAGATGGACAGAGCCTGAAGGACAGACAGGAGACTAGAGACAGAAGGACAGACGGACTGGGCCTAAAGGAGCCAGGAAGAGACAAAGAGAGAGCCAGGACGGGGGCAGTGTGAGGCAGCTGGGCTCTGCGCCCCCGCAGCCCTCCCTGGCCAGACGCCAGGGTCTGCTTTGCAGGCAGGGCAGATGGGCTGCCGTCTCCCACTGGTAAAACCCAGGAAATCATGCGGGTGCCTCTCCAGCCCGTGCAGGACCCAAGCAGCCCACTGCACACGGACCTGGCCTCTCACAGGGGCACCTGTGTCTGGACGCCGAGACCCTATCCTCTCCCCACGCTGGGTCAAGGGGTCTGCATGCAGGAGGAGTCACTCCTGGAGCAGAAGAGCAGCCCTGGGCTTCCCGACAGATTGATCCTGTAGCTTCCCAAGTAAAAGGCTCATAAAGTGTCGTCAATGTTCACGACAGTTCATAAAAATGATCAGTTGAGTGGGAGGCTTCAAAATGAGGTGGAAATAAGTTTAAAGATATTTTCATTGTAATTCTGCTCCAGGACGCAAGTGTTCTCAGAGATGTAAACAACACCACACCTGGCACACAGCCAGGGTGGCCCCTCAGCTCTGGCCACAGGAAGCCAGGCCTGCACTGCTGGAGCCCTCCTGTGCCTTCCCCAGAGGCCATGGGGTACCGCTTGACCCCATTGACCGGAAACCACAGCCTGGGCTCCACCCACAGACCGAGCACCCCCTGTCCCTCTGGAACTGAGAACTTAGGTCTCCCCAACACCCCCAAACCCTCATCAAGTTCCCTCACTTTTATCTCCTTCCTACGTCTTGGATTCCCGGCCCCCTCAACCTTCGTCCAGTTTCCACATCCTGAATCGCCATGGACTGGCACAAATGCCCAACCTCCTGGCTGGTGCCTCTAGAGGACCTTTTCAAAACAAAATGTGGTCACTCCCCTGTTCCAGAACTTTTGGTGGCTCCCCACTGCCTGGAGGACAATGACCAAGAGGCTCAGCATTCAATGCCCTTTAGCACCCAGTTGATCCAGACCTGCCAGTGTCCCCTCCTCCTCCCCTTCCACATCCCCTTCCCTCCTTCCTGCATGTCTTTGCAGACATCCCTTTCCCCTAGTGAACTTCCATGCATCCTTCAAGATCCCACTCATTCATCACCACTCTCATATCCTGATGGGTCTCCAGGAGGGTGGGAGGGACAGGTCACGGCCTCATCTTTGGGCAGATGGATTCACATGGCCAGTTCCATGGGGGGGGGTTTGGCTCCAGAGTTGGGCTGCCCAGAACCCACACCTGTGCTACTGCCAAGGCCTGGGCAGTCGACAGATAGACAGACTAGGAGAGGAGGAGGGAGGGAGGCTGGAGAGATTCAGCAGCAGATCCAGCGGAAGCAGAGCCCACAGGTACGCCCCGCCCCGCACCGCCTGTGGGGAGACGCCTGGCGCAGGCCAGCCCTACCTGCAGGACGTCTCCCTGAAGGAGATGTTCACGTCCCAGTGGGTGTGGACTCTGAAAGGAGAGAAGCAGAGGGTCAGTGTGGCCTCCAGGACCTGGTGCCTGGACAGCAGGGCATGTGTGTGGCATGCCCCTCATCTGCCCCAAAGCGCTGGCCCTGAGGGAATGGGTCTGGCTCAGACCTGTCTCCAGCGCCATCTGGTACCAGCTCACCGGCCAGTGGCTGCCACCAGGACAGGCCCTGGGCGGGAGCCAGCTCCTGGCCTCGCCAGACAAATGAGTCGGGAAGGACAGAACTGAGGCTGGTTACAGTGGACCCAGAGGAGCCCCCACGTTGTGCTGGGGGTGGGGGCTGCAGCTTCCTCTGCACATCACTCGCACTGATGGATGCCAATTCCTAGTCACTAGGGCTGCTCCGGAACCAGGTCAGGGAGTGAGGCCTACAGTTGCCATCAGCACCAAGGGTCAGGTGTCAGCCCCTGTGTCCCAGCTACTGCCAGCCTACCTCCCAAAAGTGACCATCACACAACAGAGGCAGGAGGGACACTGGGCTGAGAAGTCAAGCACAGAAGCAGCTCTGCCCTGTGTCCGTGTCCTCACCCACAGCAGAGTCCCCGAAAAGACCCAGGAGCTGAGGGAGGGCGGTCAGAAGCTGTGTGGTGCTTCACATTAGCAAGTGGGGGTGTGGGGGCTGGGAACTGGGGGTCTTGGGGGTACGGGGCGGTTACTTTAGAACAGGAGATATTGGAACATGTTATAAGACTAAGCGGGAAGAGAAAAGACCTAGAAATTGTAGGGATGCAATAACGTGCTGAATGGACAGACCGACAGATGGGCACATAGATGAGCAGATCGATGGAGGGAAGGACAAAGAGGTAAGTGGACAGAGGGAGGGTGGGAGGTCAGGAAGGGTGGCCCTAAGCCTGGAAGGGACAATGAGCAGGCAGGAGAGCTGCCACCTGCCAACAAGAATGAGCACAGTGTCCAGCAGGCCGGTCCCACGTGGGTCTGCCCAGCTCCCCTCTCCCTGCCTGGCTGTGGCAGGACCAGGCTCTTCCTCCCGGGATCCCCGACTGCCCTCTTCCTTGAGTCCCTGGGCTGAGCCCCTTCCTTCCTCATCCCTGGCAGCTCCATCCCTCCTCGGCACCTTCCCCACAGGGAGCCACATCGACCCTTTCCTGGCCCCTCTGGTCTTGGCAGGGCCGCTAGTGGTACCCGCTCCTCAACAATGGTGATCTGGCCCTGGCGCGACCCTCGGTCCCCAAGTGGGGGCAAGGTGTGTACGCACTCTGGTCCTGCAATAGGGAGTGGGCTGGGCCGTCCCCGGAGGTCCAGTTTGTTTCAGCTGTTGGCATCCCCCGAGGCAGGACAAGCTAAACTCAGGCCCACTGCCCCACCAGGCTTTGCCTTCAGCTGCTTGGAGACCCCCGTCTTGCTGTCTCCACTGTGCCAGAGCTCGTGTGGCCCCCACCCCACAGTCGGCAGAAGTACCTTCTCTTCATGATACGGACATGCGGGTCGTCCTCCTGCTTCAGGCCCGGCCGCCGCCCACAGGCCGGGCCACTCCCGTCACTGTCACCATCACTGACCGAGAAGCTGGGGGTCAGCTCCTTCTTTAGGATCCGCACAGGGGATGGAGCAACTGTCCTCTTGTCTGCCAGCCGCCCCCGGTTCTGGGCAGGGTGGGAGGAGAGAAAGGTTAGGCCAAGCCAGGCTCCTCAACCTCCTGGGCGGCTTCCACCCCAATCCCGACTCCCCTGCAGGGCCCAGGTGACAGAAGCCCTTGGAGCAACTGCTAAGACCAAACAGGCGCAGTCACCAGCCATTCATCCCTGCTCGCTTTCCCTGCCTCCAGCCTCCAAGACAGGCCCAGGGTTGGCAGGAGCCACAGCGGCCAGAGGCAGGGAGAGGATGTGCAGGTCAGGGGCCCCTCCACAGACTGCTTTCCTTGCTCCACACCCCCCGGATGGGGCTGAGGTGGGGGTGGCCCTGGCCAGACTGCCATGGGCACGGCCACATCTACATTCTGCACTCCAGTCCAGGCCCCTCCACAGGCACTAGGCCTGAGTGTGGGGACGCCCACCTGGAGGCAGACCCGGGCTTTCCCAGGTCCCGTGAGTCCCAAGGGGCCTGCAGGATGCAGCATGGCTGTGCATCCTGTCCCCGATTCCAAGGCAGTCACTGTGCACTGGTGTCTGCCTGGCCATCCCCCTCAGGTTCTGTGTGGGCCTAATCTGTCAGTGCCAGGCAGAGCTCAGCTAGGGGTGGTTTGAAGGTGGGAGCCTGGGCCTGAGCCTGCTGACCCCTTGCAAACTGCGGGCCTGGGGTCCACAGGTCACCTGGCAAGGAGCCCTGGCCAGCCCAGACCCTTTGTCCCATGGGCCTTGGTGGGCTTGCCCTCTGGGTCAGGAGCTGAGAAATTCAGTTTTTCCAAAGGTCCACCACCCCTTCCCTGTGCTCACAGTGAGGGCAGAGTGTGGGCAATGAGGCAGGGCACACAGGCGGGCAGCTCTGGGACTGAGAAAGGAGAACAGAGAGGGAAGGCGTGTCCCACACACAGACGCGCAGGGCACTGCACACAGAGCTGGTGTGTGCTCAGGGCTCATGCACACACACCGGTGGGCACACTCAGTGCTTGTGTATACAGGCAAGGTTCTCTCTAGTGTGTCCAGGCTTCTCCGCCCAGGGGAGGAGAGAAAGTGATTGATTGTTTTCTGATGGGCATGAGACTTTCTCTCATTTAACGACAGGTTACTGGCTCAGGGAGGTGGCACGGCCTGGGGATTACCTAATTCTCTCTCATCTTTTCAGTTAACTGGGCCTCCTTGGACCCCTCCTCTCCTGTTGCCAGTACAACTTGCCCCCACCACACCCATGAGCTTGAGGAGGAAGGTGTCAGGGAGCGTCTTGCCTCTCCCGGACCACGTCATCCTGGACCCAAAGGGCAGCTGTGCAGCCACCGCAGGCCTGTCTTCCAGAAGAAAGGTCCTTTCAGACTCAGATCACTGTCACCTCCACACGCACAGCCCACTCCAACCCCAAAATTGGGCAGTACCCCCGACGGGGCCAGAGAGCCTTGGTCTTCTTCGCGTCAGGTCTGGGAATCCCAGTCCTGGCCCCACCCTGGGTCTGGGAGCCACAGTCCCTCCCCAGGCTTCAGGAACCATAGGTCCCCCATACCGGCCCTCACGAATGCACCCAGGCCACCCTCTATTTTCCTCCCTGCAACATACACTCAGTGGGATGGAGTGGGCAGCACTGGGGCAGGTGGGGTGTGGTGGGGCAGTGGAGTCTGAGGGCAGGCCTGAGGGGGCCGGCTTTGTGACCCCTTCTAAGACCCTGGCCCTGACCCTGTGCTATTCCAGCAAGAGTAGAGCGTGGCGAGGCTGCAGGTTTGACAGCCCATCTGGTCTCCCTGCCTCTCTGTGCCAGCCAGTGGGCTCTGGGGAGTGTCTCCAGCAGCCCCTGCCCATCTGGAGTGTGCTCTGCTGGGAAGTCTCACTCAGAGCTGCCCTTCTCTAGCCTGCTGTAGCCCAAGCACCGGGATCTTTCTCTTTCCTTTCTGTTTTAATTCAACCATTCTCTTCAGAAGAAAAGGAAACGCTTCTCCCTCTGTTTCTCATCTGTGGGTCGGGGAAGAGGAGAGGGAAATGCCGCTTAGGATGAGGCCAGACCAGCTATATGGCCTGGGCTGGCTCCTGGGGGTGCTCCCGTGGGAGGAGGGGCTGAGGAAGAGGGACCAAGATGGGCAGCCCAGAACCCGGCCAAGGGCAGGGACCACACAGGCCTCCCACGCACACCTGAGACCTCGGCCGCTCAGCCGTGCTCAGCAGCACACAGACTCAAGGGCTGGGTGCTGAGCCCGCCCCGAGCCAAGCTGGCTCCTTGGACAGCAAGGGTGGTATGTGGAGGCCAGCTTGCATGGCTGCATGACCCCTGTGCCATGTGCACACCCCTGGAGTATCTGTGCCATGAAGCGTGCACATACCTGTGGACCTGGCTGTGGGGGGTGGGTGCTGGAAAGACAAGGGTGTCTGTGGGGCTCCTTCCTAAGGGACAGCCCTGGGAGGGACCCGGCTCAGGAGAGGCAGGCCCAGGTCTGAGCCATCCCTCATGCAGGGCAGGGACCTGGGAGCCCCAGACAGCAAGCAGCTCTGGGCTGTGGCCCCATCCCTGTCTGAGCCCCATACCCAAGCAGTGTCCTACAGGGGATGGATGCTAGGCTCAGGCTGCCTGCCTCCCCACTCCTGTGGATGACCTCCAGAACAGGGAGGATTGGGAGAGGCAGGGCCCCTCCCCACCAACAGAAACCCCAGGCCAGCCTAGAGGGTCTAGAGAGTGCCCAGGGGACCCCTCTCTGGCCCCAGCTGCTTGAGAAGGTGCAGAAATGGAGATGGAGCTGGGCCTCCTGCCTAGGAAAGTATGGTGGCAGTGGGCAGGAGACGGCTGTTTGTGCACACACACACACTGTCTGGGAGCCCTTGTGCACAGGCGTGCCTGTGCGTGCGATGAGCTCATGTCAGATGGTGTGTGGAGTGGGCTCATGGGTGAGGTGTGGCTGGATCCCCTTCCCCTGCTCAACTTCATGTCTGTCTTCACAGGTGTGTCTGTGTCTTTCCTCACGGTCCAAGAGGAACCCAGGACACCCTTTCCTGAGCCCTACCACCAGTCCAAAGTAAACAAGCCCAAGGCAGGTGCCTCCAGGCCTCTTAGGCCCAACTGTCCCTCTGCCTCTCCCACCCCTTCTTGTCAGAGGGGGCTGCTGAGTGGTGCCAGGATTAGCAGCAGCAATCCCAACCACCACCAGGAGCCACAGCCCTAATTGGCTCTCCCCCAGGGGCTCAAAATTGGTTGCTCTCAAGATGCAATTTCCTTTTCTGATCAATCCTCCAACCATACTGCGTGGAGGGCAGGCACCCTGATTTCTCCTGCTCCCCTAGGCCAGTGAAGGCGTGAATGGATGTCTACACTGGGTTGGGGGGCCCATACCAGCCTCCAGCTCCAGCTCTTTTTTTTTTTTTCTGCTTTACCTTCCCAACCCCCCCGGTACATAGTTGTATATCTTAGTTGTATATCTAGTTGTGGGATGTGGGACGCTGCCTCAACGTGGCCTGACGAGCGGTGCCATGTCTGCACGCAGGATGCGAACGCTGGGCCACCGCAGCGGAGCGCGCGAACTTAACCACTCGGCCACAGAGCCGGCCCCTCCAGCTCTCTTGATACCAGAGGCTCACACTGCACAGATCCTGCCCCTGACTGTGTTGCATCCCGACACTCCTGGACATCCAGGGCCTCACCTAGCAGGACTCCAGCCTCGGTACCCCACAGACGCACACCACTCTCCTCTGGGCCTGAGACCACCCCAGAACGCACATCCAGGCCAGCCAACCCTGTCAGACCCCAGAATAAGCCTTACCCTAGAACTGGCCCCTCTCCCGAGCTGGGCCCCACGACACGCTGACCCTCAGACCCGTGGCAGGGCAGAGTGACACTGTCCGGAGAGGAGACTTTCACTCCCGGGCTGTTCCCAAGGCTTCAGGAGAAGCAGCTCCAAGGCTCCAGGACGGGAAGACCTGGGCCCGCATCCAAGGGAGAAGAGCTCTGGGTGACCCCGATTCCCACCCAAAGCAAAGTCTCAAATTTGCCCTTCGAGGGCTCCCTGCACCCTGCAGGGTTGAGGTTAGGACTGTGGATCCTGGAAGACACGGACACAAGCTGCCGGGGAACAAGAGGGGCCCCGAAAGCCCAGCTTTCCCGCACATCTCACCACAGGGGAGGATATCCGACAGCCCGGACAGTCGCAGATCGGAGGGTGCACTTGCAGAATCCCCTTGGACATAAGCGTCTTCAGACTTTTCCCTGCGAGGAGAGCGAGGCGGGACCGGTGAGGGAGCAGGGCCGAGCACGCTTCCGGGGCGCAGTCAACTGCAAGGCCGGTCTCCCCTCCTGGCAGGTGTATGAACGCCCACCTCGTCCAACCTCTGAACCCACCACCCGGCCCTGCCGCCCACCCCACCGTCGCGGACGCCGCGGGGATCTGCAGAGCTCTGAAACTCGAGATCCGGGCGAGCGCCCTCCCATGACGACAGGCGGCCTCCTCCCCGCCCCCTGCGCCCCTCCTCCCGCGCTCCACCCTCGCCAAGCCGGTCCGCGGGAATCCGGAGCAGGGCAGAGGAAGGTCGAGCCTGGCCGCAGGTGAGCGGCGCCGTCAGGACCCGGGACTGCGCCTGACCCCGCAGCGGAAAGACGGCAGCCACCGTGGAGCCGCGAACCCCAAAGTCGAGCGCGACTGCATCCCTAACTTTCTAACTACCCCACACCCCCAAGCCTGGCGCTCACCACGCCTCCCCCACGTGCCGGCTCAGGAACCCGCAGGTCGCTCGGGTGTAGCCAGACTCCTGCCGGGGCCCAAGCACGTTGCTCCTAGCCGGGCAGCTGCTCCGGCTCCGCGCGCGCCCCCGCCCTGACGCGCGCCTCCGCGGCCCCCACCTGCTTAGCCTGCCCTACGCCTTCCCCTTCCCTCCAGCAGCCCGCACCCGCACTCCGGCCGCACGTGTGCCCCTCTACTCCCGCCAGAACCGCGCCCGGGGAGGGGAGTGTCCCGCCCAGCTGGCCTCCCGCCTGCTCTCTCTCCCGAGTTCCCGTAAACTTCCTCTCAGCCTCAAGGTCCAGGAATCCCGCAAAGACCTTCCGAGCGGAAGGAGCTGCCAGCTCGTGCGCGGCCGGGAGTCCAGGGCACCGCGGCCCGAGCTAGCGGGATGGTGGAGGTCGAGGGCGGTTTGCCCAGGTCCACCACGACGACCGTGCTGCGGAGGACGGGGGGCGGAGGGGGGTGGTGTTCCCTGTGGTAGTCCCGGAGTCACAGCGCCCTCTCTGGGCGGAAATGGAGTCTCCCAGAAGGCAGAATGAGGGGGGTCCGGACCCACGGGTCCTCGGGGAGCGGAGGGGAGGGACGGTAGCGGCCCGCGCCCCCACCTCGGCCGCACCTTTGTGGCGGATGCTGCGCTTCCAGTCCTTGGCCGTCTCGCGGCCGCTGACGAACTGGAACTCGTTGGGTGTGAGCCACTCGCCGCGGTGGCGGATGGACGGACCCTTGCTGCCCTGGCAGAGTTTGCGCACGTAGAGCAGCGCGCGGTTGGCGCCGCACTCCACCTCGATACACGGCTCCCCGTTGTCCAGCAGCGGCTGGAAATCCGGTGCTGCGGCCGCAGTGGCTGAGAAGCGCTCGAGGGCCAGAGGGTCCCGGGGCAGGTGGAGGTGCGGGGCGGCCTCGTGCAGGCTCAGGTAGGCGCGTGGGGCGCGGAGCGGCGGAGCCAACAGCGCCTCGTAGCCGGCGGTCGCGGCGGGTAGCGAAGCGGCCGGGGGCAGAGCGGCCGCGGCGGGCAGTGGCGTCAGGTAGCCGGGCAGCGGCGGCAGTGGCAGCGCGGCCAGGGTCGGGTGGAAGGTGGCTAGAGCCAGGGCCAGGTCTTCACGACCTGGGAGCTCCTTCTTGACCGCCGGCATGGCGGGCCGGTGGTCCTGCAGCCTGGCTCTCCGCCGCCGGCGCAACTTGTTCTGGCCCCGGCTAGAGTTGGATCTCGAGGGCGGGGGCCCGGGAGGCGCCTGGCCGCACGCCCGCACTACCCGCTACTGCGCCCCAGCGTCCGCCGCCGCGCCGCCCGCCGGGCCACCTCGGACCGCTGCCCGGCCGGCTGGCCGGGCCTCGGCTCCCCGAGACATTGTGCTGCCGGAGCTGCTATCGATCCCCGATCGACCTGCCTAGCGCCGCAGCTCGAGGGCCCGGGGGCTCCACGGGGCGCCGGGCCACCTGCGCCCGCGCCCCCTGGGGCGGCCCCGCGCCCCGCTCGCTGGTCCGCCCGCCGGGCCGAGCCGGGCAGTGAGGAGCCGTGGAGTCTCCGGCCTGGCGCCCCGCCCCGCCCGGGGGTCCCACGCCCGCCCCGCCCCGTCGCCCGGGCCGAGCACCCGCGTAACTGGCGCGCGCCCGCCGGCGGGGACTTGGGAGACTCCCGCCGCCACCGCCGCCGCCACAACTTGGCCCATTTAAACGGCCCCGGCGCGGCGGGCGGGCGGGCGCGGGCTCCGGCAGGGGGTGTGTGACGGCCGACTGGGCTCGCGTGGGGGCGGCGGCGCGGGACTGCACCCTTGCCCTGTTCCAGATAGGAAGAAGGGAGACCCAGTGGGCGGCCGGACTCTAGCGAGACGCGGCGCACGGACTGCGCCATTGTTGAGGGAGTCACTGAGTGCAACTGAGTCCGGGACTCCACATGGGCGTGGGCAGACCCAGGACCAGGAGTGGGCTCCTTGCGGAGGAGGGATCCGGGGTCCGGTGGGCCCATTTTCCTGGTGTGTGTGTGTGTGTGTGTGTGTGTGCACTGGCGGCTTTGGGTGCGTGGTGGGCATCCGCGTCTGGGCTGGCGTGGGTGGCCTCTGCATCCGCAGGGTGTGAGGCTGCGCGTTTGTGGTGTGTGGTCTCAGCACATATGTTAGGGGCGGGGGTCCTGTTCTGTGAATAACAACCAAAACAATTGTGCCATTTATTACCACCTTACTGTGCAGTTTACCCGCCTTAGTTCACCTGGTCGTCCCACTCAGACTTTTTCTTATTATCCCCATTTTATAGATAAAGAAAGTGAGACGGAGAGAGGTCAAGTAACTCTCTCTTTAAAACACACAGGCGTTTCAAATCCAGGCGGTCTGACTCCAGGACAAGCAGTAATCTGAGCCTTGGTGTGGGGCAAGAAGGTGGATTCACCCAGTCTCGGTGAATCCAGGGGAACAGGGGCTATGGCAGGAGGGGTAGCTGAATGCGGGATTGTGCCCTTGAGCACACTTCCGTTCTCTACTGCTAGCAAGACTGGGGAAGAGGGACCTGCTACATCCATGTCCACCTCCATGCCTTGGAGGAGAGGTCAGCCCTGGCCCAGGGCTGGAATGAGGGCAGCTCGTCCCCTGGTGATCAGCCCACACCTCCCTGTACATCAGCATGTGGGCCTTGCTGGGGGTGGAGTTAGGAAGAGAAACTGAGGAATCCAGTGGCTTTGGTTATAGCTGGCAAGACAGGCTTGTCTTTCTGTGGTGTGTCATTTTGGACAAGCTAGAAAGTAGCCTCAGATCCCAGCCCAGAACCCAGACCCCCACCCCTGCGCCTCTGAGATGCACCTGGTAGGGCATCCTTGTGGCATCTCCCTGACCAGGGGTTGGAGCTGGGTCAGAGGAGGGCTTGCGACTTCTGCAAGGGAGGGGCTGGGAGTGAGGGAACACGCCGCCCCACCTACCTCCTTCCAGCACCAGCACCAGCCAGGGATGGGGCTGGCTCTGGCAACCACGGTGTTTTGTCTCGCTGACACACTGCTCACCTCAATCTCAGCCGAGGCGCAGTGGTCTGTTGGGGTTTAAGGGGCCAGCTGGGAATGTGAGCATGAGTGACCCCTCCTTACTTCACCACCCTCAGCCCCATTGTCCCATCCACAGCCTGGACACCTGTGCATACCTAACCCCAGATGTGACAGCTGAGGAGGGAGGGTGCCTCTGTGTCTGGTGGGTGCAGGAGGCTGTCTCTGCCTGAGAGGAAGGCCACGGAAGGGCTGTCACATGAAGCGTGGCCGCAGCTCAGCTGGAAAAGTTCCCAGGGCTCAGCTGGAGGCCCAGTGGGATGGGCCTGTGTGCCCACTGTCTGGCCACCTCCCCTGACCCTGCTGCCGAAAACCATGCCCCTCCACCCACCCTCTCATGGTCAGGGCACCTGTCTGCTGAGCCTCAGGCCTCCGAACCCCTGACCTGCAGACTATGGTGTGGGGGGAGGCTGGTGAAACACATCTCTGGATCTGAGAAGGTGCCACGTGGCTCACGGCCAGGCCTCTCCTCTGACCTCAGCTTGTGGACAGGGCCTTCCTTCCCTTCTGTGGGACCGCCCATCATTCACCCCGGACTCTTCTGTCACTCACATGCCCACAGGGGCAAGGAGGGGCGTGCTGGGCCCCTACTCTGGCTTTCAGGGGAGCGTCCAGCTGGCAAGGATCTCCATGCTGTTATCTGGCTCCACCTCTCTTTGGAGGGCCAGGGTGTCTTCCTGAAAGGTGCCTGACTGGGTCCAAAGCTCTCTGCAGGACCCCCTGTCCTTGGAGGGCCACTCCCTGACTCCCAGGAGACCTCTTTCCAGGGGCTGGCCAGGGTCTTGGCCAAGCAGGGCAGTTCAGTCCCACCCTCCCCCCAACCTGTTTTCTTCTCTTCACGGAAAATAGACACCTCTGCCCACGGCCCACAGAGCCACTTTCCCATGAGGACCAGACATCTGCCTTGATCTGTGGACATCATACCCTTCCCATGAGGATCTGTCCATTTCTTCCCGCCTGTCCACCTGTGTCCTGGTCTGGCGCCCGGGCCCGCATATTCCTCTGCACTTCTCAGACTAGAGCCAGAGACCAGAGGGACATAATTTTGGCGCTAGAATAAGTCCCTGCCTGGCGCTCAGGCCTGGGCTCCTCCGGGGACGCAGCCCCTCCTCCGCCTGCGGAGGCTCCGCCCTCGCCGCCCGCCCGGTTCGGCGGCGGCGGCGGCGGCGGCGCCGTCGCTGCTCGGGGTCCCCCCCTGCTCGGGGCCCTCGCCGCTGGGCCGAGGCCGGAGCCGCCGCCGCCGCTGCCGCCGCCGCCGCCAGGGAGGGGGAGGGGTGGGGTCATAAATAACTGCGGGGCGGCCGCCAGCGTGCAGACGGTGACCCGAGACGTCCCCAGGGAGCGCGGGGGCGGCCCGCAGACCCTGCTGCCCCTGGCCCAGGCTCGGCCAGCCTTGACCGCCCCCGCTGGGGCTGCTCGATCCCGTCCACAACTGACGCTCCTGCCGGAACCCTCCCTCCCATCCTGGAGTGCCTGCCTACCCCTCTCCGGACTTGTGCCTTAGAGCCCCCTTTTCATCCATTCTTTCATCAATCAGTCATTTATGGAGCACCAGATGTGTTATGACCACAGAAAGAGAAATCCAGAGGTGAGGTTGGAAGGAGAGAGTGCAGAGGAAAGTGGTATGTCCCTCAGACCACAGATGCAGAGTCTTCCTGTGCTCACCCAGGGTGGCTGAGGGGTGGGAGAGCAGGCCCAGATGCCCAGACACAGGGACATGTGGGACCCACAGGTGTGGGCACAGCTGACAGCCATGAGGAAGCACACCCATGTGCACACATACGTGTGCCACATGAGCACAGACAGCAACCCACATGTGTGCTCACACACATACACTCCCACGTGCATACAGCAGCTCCCAAAGCTGCACAGACAGGACAGGTGCACACACAGATGACATCTTCACCACGGATACACATAGACAGTATGTGTGCTAACTTACAGCACAGCCAAGACTAAAGACACCACTGAGACCTGTGCACCACACACACAGGCACACAGGCCTGCAGCAGGAGCACCAGGTGGATGCAGCTGTCATGTCCAAGGCAGCGTGTCTGGGGCAGGGGTCTGATTTGCAGCACTGTTAATGAAGAAGGGTTAACCTGGGTCACAGTTTAGCGGTCAACCAGCGGGGGCTCCCTCAGACACCCCTGAAGGGTGGCCAGAGCCCCCAGGGATGTGTCCGCTCCTGGCTCCAGAACAACACAGGAGGGGCTGCCCTGCTGCCGTGTGCCTTCCTTTTGTTGGCCATGGGCTGACTGTAGGCCATGCCCTCTCTCAGGAGAGGAGAAGGTGTTTCTGAGGCCAGTCTGTTCACTGACCTTAACTTATGCCATTTAAAGGAGCAAAGAGATAGGGCCTGGGATCAACCTCACACCCCTTGTGGGAGTGCAGACTGGGTGCACACACTGCCAGACTAAATTATGTGTGCCATGGTATTCACCTGCTATGTCACACATATGCTGACACACATCTCAGACGCAAGCACAGTGACACACAAGTGCTCAACACCCCACAGGGTGCGCTGGGTGCACTCTGATGCCATCACAGAGGAAGTTGTTGGTCTGGCAACATGAGTAGGAATCTTGGCTGCCACTGGCTCTGCGTGCCTCCGCTCTCCCTGCCCCCCGCCCCCGCCCCGGAGGAGTGAAGATGCTCCTCGCTGGCATCACTGAGGGCAGAGAGCAGCCTCTGCCTCAGGGCAGCCTGCTGGGTGCTATCACCTGTGTGGGCCTGGGCTGTGCTGGAGGAGGCCAAAGAAGGCGGTAGAGAGGGTGCACTTGGCAGAGGCCTGAGACTCAGGTCCTCCTGGCTGGCCTCTGTCCTTCTCGGGACCGTGGTTTCCCCATCTGAAAATGAGAGAGGGGCTCAAAAATCTGTGGAGTCCCTTTGGTCTAGAGCAGAGCAGTCAGCGTGCAGTGTAGCTGCAGGTGCCCTGGTCAGTACAGTGAGGTGAAACTGGCACATCTTCCATGTTTCCTCCATAAATGGGTTCAGAGTGCAGGAGCTGCAGGGTTCCCTCCTCAAGGTGGGGAGAAGCAAAGGGAAGGAATAAGGTCTTCCAGGGCCCCTGGGAGCAAGAGAATCTGTCCCAATGAATGGGCATGAGGGCTGGTCCCACCCCTTCCTCTCCCTGCAGACACTGCCGTCCTGTGACCTGGACCTGGCCTGGGGTGTGGGGGAGAGGCTCAGGGGATGGGAGGACCCCTGGATGCAACTGCTGCCCTGCTGGGTGGACGTGGTGCCAAGGGCCTGTGCAGTCCTCA